TTGCTTGTAGTTGTATGGCTTCTTCTTGAAGTACTTCATTTATAATTATGACATTACGATCAACACCTTGAAGTCCTGAAATAGCTGCTACCCATTGATCATTGACACTATTATAAACAGCGATACCAGTACCACTAATAATATCATTTCCACATTTTACAGGATCACCTTGATGAAATTCTTCACCCGATTTATACTTTCCATTTCTCGTAATTTGTACGGTTTCGCCCACTTCTGGTACACTGAGAATGAATTTCTTTGCTACGGAAATAACTGGAATTGATTTATCATTACTGAAATCGAGATCGTCGGCAAATATAATCGGTATGCCAATCTCTTCTTTGAAAAGTTGTCGATTTAATTCACTAGTTCGTTTCAAAGCTGCATCCAACGTTATATTAGTATCTTGTATTGATTCATATGATGGGAAATACTCACGATAAACATCAGGAGAATATTCAAGCACATGATTTATTACATCGCAATCAGTTATTTCACATGTGAGATATTTTGCAATGATATTTATCTTTTCACCAGTCGTCTGAGCGTCGTTGAATACCTTCTGCCATATTTGTGGAAGTTGAACTTCGCCGCTTGCATAATTATTAATCATTGCAGCAACGAAATGTTCAAATGGAGCTGTCATAGTAAAAATATTTTCACGACAAAAACGAGCATATTTCTTGAATTGTTCATTGAGTGTTGAAGAAAATTCGACAGATACACTATCAAGATTTCGAATATCTTCAGCATGATGAATCAAATTGGAATCAATAGCTTTTTGAAGATTTTCTATTGTATTATTCAGTAGATCTTGCATTAAAGCTTCGCGAAAAGTTACAGCAAATCTCTGATAGATGAATCCCATTATATCATTATCTTTGTAGATATTAGTTTTAAATAAATTTGTATTTCCATCATATGAAACGGTGATTGTACATTCAGCTATAAATTCATCAACTGTTCTATCCAAAATATCCCAAGCAAATGGAAAGTTGTTCTTTATCATTTGTGGTTTAAAACGTCCTATGCGAAATCCATCTTCAAGGTCAGTCACATTGAAAGACAAACGATCAGATTGAGCAGCTATTTGACCTTCTATATGATTAAAACTGTCGAATTTCATCACACCATTATATGCTCTATCGATATTTTTTACTATATCGGGAATTTCTTCCGTATCATGATTGTAAAAATTACATGGCTTGCTTTGGTCATAACGCCAGAATCTTTTGATAATACCTTCAATAAAAGTCGGAGACAGATTTTGATTTTCGTTTCCATTTTCTGCCCAGTCGGTCATTAATCTTACACCGGCAGTATCATGATTCCAATTTAAACCATAAGGTTGCAAAGCTTTTTTTATTGCCAATTGGCCCCAATGTGCGAATGGAGGATGACCAATATCATGAACTAATCCGATATTACCTGCTAATAGTTGACTTTCTCTGCCCAATCCTAATCTTCTTGCTATTTCTTCGGCCGTATCTTTTACTTTCATAGAATGTGTTTCACGATTTGTAAGCCGTGGATCACTGTAATTTATTGCAAACTGATAAATACCTTTAAGTCTTTTCCATGGACGACTACGAAGAATATGATTTCGATCATTTTCAAACCTTGTTGCTACATTCTCTGCACCTTCCAGCAGAATTGATTCAGTTTGATATGAATTACTTCGTTTATTAAAGTCAAAATGCTGTCCTATATGAGAACCAGTAATTGAATTATCGACAGACATATTGAAATCTTCTTATTTATTAAATCGTTCAATACACTGTTATAAATCTAAATATGAAAAGCATTCATTATTGATGCATGATGTGAAGAGAAAGTAAGGTAACAGTCAAATATAAAAGTTAAATAAATACAATTTGTTGCGTTGTATATGTAAAAACAATCTTACCTACTAACGAATGTACGAAGAAAAGAACGAAAAATAAAAGTAGTGAGGTATGTGTATATTTCTTCATAGACTAGGCAATAAAACGATCTACAAAATAAAAGAACATTTATGACTCATATAACGTCACTTCAAATGAATGATAAATAAAAACAGGGTTGTTGCTCTCTGTATTACTCGCCAAGCAAATGCCAGAAAGAGAACGCAATATTTTTTCTATGCGTCAGCTATTACACACTTTCCTTTGAAATGGTGAAATATCTTGTTCTTTTTTGTTTTATGTTCTTACCTTCCTTTAACAACCTACTATTTTTCTTGCTTATATATTTATATATTAGGCAATAGAACAAACGATAAAACATTAAAACGTCCTTTACCGAATACGTCCAAGCCCTCGTAAAATGCCAATTGAATACATGAAGAAAAGAAAAAAAATGACGTAAACGGGAAGAGTATTTTTTTAAATTACAGTGGTTTGTCACTTCTTTCGAAATTTGATATATTAACAATTACAAGTGATAATAGCTGAAAGAAAATTTTTTTTTGAATTAATTGATCAAAAAACTAAAATGTATTATTTCATAGTAATATCATGTAAGATTAATGAATGTAAATAAGGCAATCTCGTTAAATCGATATCAAGACAAGTATCAATTACTAATCTATATATTTGACTGACATTATATAACTCGTAAATGTTATTACAGAAAGCGAATATTCGACATGAGTCTTGAAAAGATAGAAAAATGTAGTACATCCATGTTACGCTTGTAGGATATAAATACCAATCTAGATGTTTTAGTATTGTACATCTAAACTCATGTATTTACTACTAAAAATTAATTTAAAATTGATAAAGATCAGTCATATAATGTTCGAGAAGATTGTAAAGAATTAAATGTGGTATTTTTAAATAATTTTACAAGAATCGTATACATTCTTATCAACAGATTATTTGACCTAGGATCATTTAGTCTGTAATTCTATGACATGAATTTATTCCTTAGATTTTTTCTCTCTTCTTTTAAATATATTCTTAACATGATCTAGATAAGTACCATATAAATAATTTTTTTTTTATTTTTCTTGCTCGTGCTGTTTAATGATATACGTAAATGAGAAAAAAAATCCATTCATTCTTTGTATAGAAAAGTATTTCTCTTACTCCGTAATATCATTAAGGTAATTATTAATCGAAATATATATGAAAATATCGATAAAATAGGTTATAGAATAATATTTTGTCATTACTTGCAGGTGAATAATAACACACATTCATTCAGTTCGTTTTGAATAATATTTTAATACGTTTAATATAAAATAACAAGTATGATATTTTTTCTCGTATTGTTATATACTTCAAGCTTTGGTTCAGTGATAAATGTTCGATTAAATCTTTTCGATAAGATCATTGTCTTTGGTGATTCTAATACAGATGGAGGCAATGTATATAAATTAACAAATAATACATGGCCTATTACTCCACCCAGTGGCGGATTTAGGGGGGGGGGCGATGGGGGCGATCGCCCCCCCCCTTCCGAATTTTTTTTTGATTTTTTACAGCAAAAATGAGCGAAAAAATAGGTTCACACTACTTCGGTTGGACTCAAAAAATAGCTTTTAACCAAAATCGCCCCCCTCCTCCCCAAGTATCGCCCCTCCATACTCAAAATAAAAAAAATCCCCCACCCTCTCCCCAGGTATCGCCCCTCCATACTAAAAAAAAAAAAAATCCCCCACCCCCTCCCCAGGTATTGCTTCTCAATACTAAAAAAAAAAAAAATCGCCCCCCCCTTCCAAAATCCTAGATCCGCCACTGACTCCACCTTATTATCAAGGTCGTTTTACTAATGGTCCTAATTGGTTTGATAGATTAAATGCATCTTCCAAATCAAATTATGGTTATGGTGGTGCAACAACTGATAACAATTTTGTTAAAGGTTATACAAAACTCAATTTAGTTCTTGTTCCTGGTATTCGACAACAAATTGCATCTTATTTTAATGATACATTGAATACTACGATTAATTTTAATCGTACAATGTATATAATATGGGCTGGTGGAAATGATTTTATTGCTAATTCAAGCATTACTGTGTCAAGTCTTACAAATAGTTTCATGAATAGTGTTCGAGATCTGTTAAAATTTGGTGCAAAAAATATTTTAATATTTAATCAAGCACCAATTCAAGTTTATCCATATTTTAGTCGACAAAATCTTAGTGCAACTTACACTACACTTACTCTTCAAATAAATAATGCTCTTCAAGCAAGTCTTAATTCTACACGAAATAATTATACAAATGTGTCTATTCAAACATTTGATCTTAATGCATTAGTTACAAAAGTTGTTGCCAATCAATCATATCCATTTGCAAATACTGTTAGTAAATGTTGGGATAATGTAAATTTGACGACAGTTGCACTTCTATGTTCAGATCCAACAACATATGTTTTTATCGATAGCATTCACATGACCACTCCTGTACATCAATTGATTGCTGATGCTGTTACTCCACTATTAACATATACATATACATATACATATAATAGATATTCTAAAATGAATCTTTCTCTTAATATGTTGATATCATTTATATTAATTCATATTTTTTTTAAATTTTTCTAATATATCGTATATTTATAATAAAATAAAAGAATAAATATTTTTAGTAAGTATCCATTTGATTACAGTATTTCCGATTTAGTATTACTCATAAAACTATAATTGATTACACTGAATAAAAAAAGAAATAATTGTAAATATCCACGCGAAGTATTCAAGGCTAAAGAGTATATGTTGTTTATTTGTATGAATCATAGGACATTTGTTTTTGGACAAAATTCAAAAAAAATAATAAATATGACATACTTCCGTTTCTCTTTCGATTTCGATATTTTTTTCTTTCTGTATAAGAGACTAATCACGTGGATTTACTTTTACGTTTATATGTTGATTATTATACATATAAAATATCAATAAGAAATAAAGGTAGTGAATGAAGTAGGTCACTCTTGTGATTTTATTTCTAAATTTTTATTGATTTTAATTGTACACCAATAATGATAGTCGAGCAATAGTATCAAAGATTGTGGGACTCCTCGGTTTTTGATCAATAACACTACTTCATTTGATTGATTGGTATCAGAAAGAGTAAAAAAAGATTATAAAACACCCATTCTGACATACGAGCCGCAGCAAACACAAAGAGAAATAGAACAAAATTCTCATACAAGTCTTAATCAGTTAAAGGGGGTGATCGAAAAATCACCATTTTTAACACACGCTAGAAATGTCATAATACGAAAGTCCTTGTCACCTAGATCACGAATCTGACATCCGTTTGTCTAGATCTGATCGCTTTCTTGCCGTGTTTGCCGTAGGGGGGTACCTAGGTCTTATAGGGTAGTTCCATGGGGTTCTAAACACAAATACGTAAAGTATTCAGAAAATTTTCTCTTCCCCCAAACTTTGTAGAGGTTTTTTCGCTGATCATTTTCGTATAAGGAAGTTTTGAATTCTATTGAGAAATGACGACGCTATCATCAAAATAAAAAACATAGTGAAATACGGTAAAATAGTTTAAATCCCATTTTTTCTTATTAAATATAGAAAAAAGTCGAGTCTTTAATCTCGAACCGGCTATATTCTCAAGAAATATGACATAGGAGATCTTGTAGAGAAAACTGTGCTCTTTAAAACCTACTATATCATATTTCTTGAAAATATAGTCGGTCCGAGATTAGAAACTCGACTTTTTCCTATATTTTGTAAGGTAAAAAATGGGATTTTAAGCTATTTTACCATGTTTTTTATTTTGACGATAGTGTCGTTATTTCTCAACAGAATTCAAAACTTCCTTATACGAAAATGATCAGCAGAAGAAGCTCTACAAAGTTTGAGGGAAAAGAAAATTTTCCCAGAAAATTTTCTGAATAATTTGTTTGACATCCCATACAACTACCCTATATTAGACTCAGATACTCCCCTATGGAAATTGGTAAAAAAAAAAGGATCAGATCTAGACAAACGGATGTCAGATTCGTGATCTAGGTGACAAGGACTTTCGTATTATGACATTTCTAGCGTGTGTTAAAAATGGTGATTTTCGATCACCCCCTTTCAGCTCAATGCTTTGAAAATAAAATAAGAATGAAGCGAAAGGCATCTAATGAACGACAAACATTTTTTTTCTCTTTTCGCACGCCATAAATCGTTTTTTTCATTCCATTAGTATGATGCAAAAAAAAGTTTTCTAATTGTTTTTCTTTTAAAACTAATATATAGCTTTTTTCATTTCCAACCAAGAAAAACTAAATATTCAAAGAAAATTTTAACTAATAAAAGTGAAGTCAAAAAGTAAAAATAAACTATTTATCTGCATACAAAAAATTTCAATCCAAGAAATTCAATTTATTTCTTTATCTGAATATTTTATGTTCTTAACGTAAGATATTTTCTTTTCTTTTCTTTTCATTTCTGAGCTACTGCTATATACAAAAGATGTATTGTGAAGAGTTTCACTAAAAGCAATTTGATAATGTGTTCAGAGAAACTATGAAGTGAAACAGTACGTCAAAAAAGATGCATTTTCTTTATATATTCTGTTTGACAAAATTATTGAAAATACTACATCGATATATCGTATCATGCCCATAAAATACAATCGATGTTGTGACACCTTGTTTTAGATTGCAATCATACTAAATCGTTTGTTTGAAAATATTATAAACGCAAAATGAATGATTATACTCAAGAGTATTAGTCGTGTTGTTGTAGACACTAGGATAAATTGTTGAATAAATCGTCGTAAAAACAAAATATTCTAATATTTTGTAATACAATCTATTTGCGCATTACGAATTGATTCTATAGAAATTAACAACGAAAAATGAGAAGACTTATGATATTACTAATTTTAAAACAGAATAAGCCGGGTACAAATTTGAAAATTCAGAAAGTTATGTTTAAATCATATTGGGAGTCCCTCTTTGATTCAATTTTCTCAACGTAAGAAGAAACATGTAACTGTCTATGAATGAAGTTGACAAAAAGATAAATATAACGGAACTATCCTTCTTTTCATATTTACAATCAACATATCAGGTACATTTAATGTATACTCAAATCTTCATTCGTGTTAGGAAATTCCTATAATAAAAATCTCACAACGCGTTTCTGATAAATTTAGATTATAATTCAATCTATACAGAAACTAAAATAAAAGCTAATGAAGATAATAACAGCTCGATATTCAGTGTACTGAGGAATCTAGTTAATTACTTGTTCCCTTTAACATGAAATCTTGAGGGTATGGATGTGGCTGCTGGATGAATACAGTATCCATATCCACACCCTCAAAATTATAGAGCATACTTGCGCCATTTATTTGTTATTTATTTGCTATTTATCGATGTCAATCAACAAAAGTCGTATTTCATCAGAAGAAGAAAATATGTACCGCCAGTAATGTGAAACTAATCTTTTTGTTCCTGATTACACATTGACATGTAATTATATACGAAAAAATAATCGAATCAAAATTTAATCCTGTAACGATTATTTGTAATCGAAACCTTCTCTAGGTCTTATCGTTCGTCATCTTACTTATAAAACAGCAAATTTTGATTGCTGTTTTCATTCAAATACAAATACTGTACGCAAAATGTACAATCGGTTACAAATGCTGATTTTGGTTGTGTGTTGGATAAGTACAGTCGTTTTTCAACATACAAATGGTAAGTTAAGTTAGTCTACAAGTGTTATATTTTCTCTGATTCAACATGCGATCATATCTTATTTACGAAAACCATGCTATTTGTCTGCATATGGTCAATAAGACGTTTATCTAGGGACAGTGTCTCGTGAGAGGAGCGAAGCTGTAAGATCGCATTCATTATACCACAATAATCTGTTAGAATTCACACAATAAAATTCATGATATTATGTTTCCATTTTTTCGATAATACGTTGGTCAATACGGATCAATTTTCTTTTCTCTTGTACGTCAGAATATTTTCGTTGTAGTAAAAGTGGCATCAAGATTGTTGCCAGCCGATTGATTGTATACTATCTGAAAATAGCGAATTTTAATTGTCTCCTACTAGTAGTGTTCGTTTGAATTAACTGGTTGTTTTTTTTGTCTATCTTAGCTCAGAATGCAACATGTGAAGTGCGATGTGTAACACCACTCGGTGGAAAAGTATGCATTGCGAAATCATCAATGTGTAATGGAATTCAGTAATTCTGTTTTTATCTAAGTAATAAAACACATTTTTATATTTTTCTTAAAAGGGATTGTGTTGATGCAAGTGATGAAGATCCAAAGTATTGTCGTGAGTTTAAATTTTTACTTTTATTTAACCATTTTAAATTTATTTTCTATAAAATAGCGCCTACATGTGCATCGACTCATATTCGTTGTTTGAATGCAACTAGTGATCAGCAATGTATACCCAAATCGTGGGTGTGCGATGGAGCTCGGTAATCTTATTTCTGTTTCAATAATTAAAGTAATTTCTTTATTTATTTTTTAAAGAGATTGTGCTGATGGAAGTGACGAAGATCCAAAGTATTGCCGTAAGATTAAGTTTATTTTTTTGCACATTGTTTTCATAACAAGTCCTTTTGCAATCTAGCTGCCAGCTGCAATTCAAATCAAATTCGATGTGTCAATCCTGCATCTGGTTCAACATGTATATCTAAATCATCCTTGTGCGATGGAATTCAGTAATAATTTTTTTATCTCTAGAGTAAAAACATTTTTTATTTGTATGAAAAGGGACTGTTATGATGGAAGCGATGAAAACTCAGCTTATTGTGGTGAGATATATCAGTTACTATTGCTTAACATCTTCATTATACTTTTTTTTCAAAACCTAGCTACCATTTGTCAACCGAATGAAATTCAATGTGTGAATCCGGGTAATGGAAAAAAATGTGTATCTAAAACATGGATGTGCGATAGAGACAGGTAAACTGTATTTAAAAACATTCTGTTAGCCATTTCTCTCATACGGCTTCAGGGACTGTCTGGATGGTAGCGATGAAGATCCTAATTATTGTGGTAAGGATAAAAACTTGCTGCTTATCATCAGTAACTGCACAATATCTTTTAAGACTTCACATTGATGTCTACAACAGTCAGAACCACCACGACAAGTTCTCCATGGACATCGAAAATTGGTAGGTATTTGTTCATTATTGTTCTTTTGTTGAAGTTTTGTAGTGCAATAGAACATTTAAAGTGTAATCACACTTGATCATTTACATATCGAAATAAACCATCTCTTTTAACAATAAATTCATTATACATTTGTTTTTATAGTCTGCTCTCCTAATCCATGCTGGAATGGTGGTACCTGTGTAGAAACAAATGGTGGTTTAGATTACTATTGTATATGCCCCTCAAGTCTTCCATTAGGTGGCAAGAATTGTGATCAATTAATTTCGGCAACAACGATAGCACCGTCTCCGTGTTTATCAAGTCCATGTATGAATTTAGGAGTATGTACTGTCAATCAGTTGTCCAACACATTTACATGCACATGTTCTAATAATTATTATGGAAATCGATGTGAATGTAAGTATATATTGATTATTTATACTCTTGTAAAGAACTCTTACGCCTGTGTAGATCCAAATCAATGCTTAACACAAGTACTTTGTCAAAATAGTGGCACATGTGTTCCAGGACCAAGTAATACATTTAGATGTCAATGTCCGCATCTATATAGTGGAACATATTGCGAGCAAAGCATGACTCCACCTAGTATGATTTAAAATCAATTTATTCATATAGTTTTATGAAATAATTCACCTGTTTAGACATTTGTGCTTCGATACCATGCCAGAATAACGGGACTTGTTTGAGTCTTAACAATAATCAACAATATCATTGTTACTGTGCGTCAGGATTTTCTGGAACAACATGCAGTATGAAACAATTTTTTTTGTTATCTTTCAATTTTTCAGTTACAAATATATGGTTTTTTGCGATGATAGAAATTAACACTGTATTCGAACTGTTTTTCATATTCATAAACTAATATTGTTATTTACTGAATTGATAATTATATATTTGATTCTGTGTAGGTACAGCCGCCAATAATATTTGCATAACGATTCCTGGTTTATGTGAAAATGGCGGAACGTAAGAAAAGCAAACATCATAAAAAGAATGCACACAATAGTTTTTATTTCAGATGCGTGTCAACTTCAGCAAATTCATTCACATGTAATTGTCCTCCTCAGTATACCGGGTCAAGATGTTCGACATTTACTCCTAGTAAGTAAAATGTTTTTGAACAACAATAAAACAACAAAATCTTTTTCTTTCATCCTATAGTGAGTACATGCCAATCGAATCCTTCTATGTGTTTAAATGGTGGCTAGTAAGTAATATCTTGGTTTAAAACTCGTCAACTTGAATGTCTTCTATAGCTGTGCCCTAGCTGGCAATTTATATCAATGTATATGTCGAACTGGTTTTACTGGACAATATTGCCAGACTTCAACGTCACCAGCCAGTGGTGAGTGTTCGGTATATATAAAAACAAAGAATAATTCAATATTTCATAGTATGCCAATCGATGCCTTGTAAGAATGGTGGGACGTGTTATGCTATTGACGCAATCAATTATGTATGCGCCTGTCCTCCTTCATACACCGATAAACAATGTAGCACCGTTATTGGTATATGATTTTTCTGCATTTTTTGTGTGATTTCTGAACCATTTGTATATTATTTTGTCAAGCATCTTGTAATCCGTCATATTGTCTAAATGGTGGTACATGCGTTACAACTGGAAATGGCATAAACATGGCGTGTGTCTGTACAGCATCATACAAAGGAGATAGATGTGAGCAGTTAAATTCAAGTGAGTTCTATCAGTAAAAAATAGTTCTTTTTCTTTTCATACTAATTTATTCTGAATAGATGATTGTGTTTCTCAACCATGCCTCAACCAAGGTGTTTGCACACAAGGTCCATTCACATACAATTGCAGATGTGTACGACCATACACTGGAAAACGATGTGAAAGTGTTTCATCAATTAACTGTAAGTTTACAATTAGTATACTGTAAAAATACAAGTATCTGATTCCTTATTCTAGCACCGTGCGACTCGAATCCATGTAGCAATTCTGGCCAATGCAGTGTGAATGGATCTGGTTTTCGATGTACATGTCTTCCAGGTTACTCAGGAACCATGTGCGAAATAAATAATCGACCAGGTAATAGATAAATTAATCATTTGTTCGAATAAATTTCTAGTCCAATTTCTATTGTTAGCGTCCTGTCAGATCAATTGCACGCCAGGATATTGTATTTCCAATCCAGGCAGTAATCCACCATACGCATGCTATTGTCCAAGCGGTGCAATTCAACCAAAATCATGTTAAAATCGCAGTTTTGTCTTTAATAAACCTGTCATTTTTATGAGAGAAGAAAAAAAATCATTAAATAACGAACAATAATATTCTATAAACCATCTATCAATTTTGTTAAGCATATATATCTAAATGTCATAATGAAATGATTCAGTTGTGTTTCATAAGAAGGACAAAGAGATTTTATTTCAAAAAATATTAACAAAAGAAAAAAAAGAAGCGTATTCTATTTTATAAAGTCATTGGTAAGGATTACAACGTTGATTAGAAGAGTTTTTTCTGCCATTTATCGATTGAATTTTGTACGAGAACTATGGTTAATACCATTTGAGACTCGCGCGTTTGGTGATTTCTATTGTTAAAAACAAAAGCAAATCGATGGGGCAATACAACTGTCTTTTACGATATGAATCAATTCGTTTAATTTACCTGAAGGTGAAACAAGACATTGTCCTTCAGCATACAGTATTTTATAACTATCTAGTATGACGCATATATTTACTAATTTTTTGCATCGTTCTTCTTGTCTGTCATTTAATTCCTTTGATGGTACTGGTGGTAGTTAAAGCATTATTGATTTGTGTTTCGGTAAATTGAAGTAATGCCGGTTCAATTTTGTCAGCCGGCAACTAATTAAAAATAATAACAAAGGTAGAAATTCCAATAGATCTATAAAAGCTATATGTCATGGAATACGTACGAGCATAAATATGGATAATTAAATAACACAACGATGACTAATATCGGTACGTTTTGAGTAATCGATTGTAGATACTCAACTGTAATTGGGTAAATCGAATTTACACCGGTAGCGACATAATATAATACATTGTTGCTGATAACTTCGTATAGATCACTTTTCGTCAATCAATGGGATTAGACAGGCCAATTGTTCCACTTAGTTCTATTGCTTTCGTATATCGTTGGTGCTTAACATTTTCCCCGTTGTACTAGGTATCCTTCGAAAAATCAACAACAACAGTATACACGATCATTTTCTCACAAATTAAAATTAGTTGTTGATGTTTCTCATCATATAAATTATCAATATGTCGACTTATCTAAGAAAAAAGAACGATACAGTCTTCTTATAGTTAGAGCAGATTAAAAGAATATCTTTCCTACAGTCTTCGAATGTGGAAGTAAGTTTTTAATATTGGCTTTGTGTAGCACAGGCAAACGTTGACCAACAGTAAATATTTTTTCTGCAAGACTTTTAAAGCGTATTCCATTAATCAATTTGAAAGGGCGGTAATCAAGTACAGCGAATTCGGTGCAAGCAGTTTTGATTTTTTGTTTGATTCGATTTAGACTGGAAGGTTTATTTGTTGGTTGAGTACTAGAAGATGTTAATTTCGTGTTTTGACAAGACATATTCTTGCTTGTCGTCATTAATATAAATATAATTGAAATTATTCTACACAGTTGAAGATTTTGATATTATTGTTGATTTCACCAATTTCAATTTCTTTCTTAGTTAGCATAATAATCTTTCAAATTAAATGAAAAATTTAAATGTCTAAAGCATCGGTTGATAGTGATACGATATGAATGAACAAAATGAATTCTATATACATTTTTTTCTGCACGTATTCAAAACAACGTGGACTCGCTCTTCTTTATTGTCGATGAATGTATCAGAAGAATGATCACGATATACACACTCACACTTTTTCATAACCTGGATAAAATATCATCCTCTCTCATTGATCGCATCAACCTTCTCGGGACTTAAAGAAGTGCCATGCAGAGTTTGGTTCCGTTAGCTATTAGAAGGATCAAATCCATAAAGAACAGAGAGACAGATATTCTTCTTTATGTACATATATATATTAATTAATTGCATTCGTTGCGAATTTATATACTTGCAGTATTTATTGCTCCGTCTTTGGCTATCTTCCACTAGAAATGTGTGAACCTATCACCTTTTAATCTCTATCATAGTTCATAGCTCCACATAAAGTCATGAAGAACTTTGAAAAAGTCCAACGAGTTTTTTAAACACATCATTGTTAGAGAGTTATTTATTTTTACGAGTCTGTTATGTACTCGTTTTGTGTATACTTATGAAAAAAAAAGTTGATAAAGAACACTTAACAACAAGCAAGACACAAAAAAGATTGGTTTACTCGTACGTGCATAAATAGTAAATGGCGTACAATGGTTTCTTAACATCTAATTATTTTCTGACGCTAAACTGGAATAGCACAAGACGGCGGTTAGTCGATCTCCATTCGACTGGTTGACTAGTTCAATCACTGGCTGGTAGTCATGTTCGCCACTCGTATAGTTTGCCACAATCTGTTTACCATTGGGCTGTGAAAGCCAGTAATTGTCATTGAGTTGAAGTCCATGATATCCGAGTGATTCAAGCCAGGTGCTCACTCGTTCATAGGAACATTCTGGTTTTAACCAAAAAACTTCATTGCGTGCTTCTTTTGTTTGAATGAGCTCCTTGAACGCAGCTGGAAAGTCGAGATACCGTGTTGGTTGATCACGTGATTCATCTTCATCGTCTTTATTAGCCGGAAATATCCAACTACGCTTGCTACCAAAGAAAAACAACGCAGAAGTTAAAATATTTTCAGGAATTGATTTATATTCACGTACAAGGAATGAAGCAGAGATGAAAACTGTACGGCGAGTGTCACACATAGTCATTAGAAAAGTCTTCAACGCACAAATCTAAAATAGATCACAAAATACATTAAGATAGACATAGCATTACTCTTGTGTGTGCTATTGATGTGCTCAAAATTAGTGAAAGAAGAAGTAACCGTCGGTTTTATTTAGCTTCTCCACACAGAGCATATTTCACTGGTCGACAATTTCGATGAATTGTTACATTGAAAAAAACTTACATTGAAATGCATGTTTGCATCTTTTTTCCTTTTTACCCACTGATTCACGTGGATAAGAACTCATTCGTTTTTCTCTTCTTACCATTCCTTTCACATCGTTGATACAAAACATCGCAGAATTGAATTTAATCTCAGAATGTTTGCTTTGCAAAAATAACACTGTTGTTCTGTCTCTTGTTTTTTTTACTTCTTTTTTAGCTGACAAGAATGTAAATTTAGTTTATTGGCTCTCTCTAACGAACCCTTACCACACTCTCACACACATCGTAGGAATAAAAAGAATAATGTAACAAGACAAAATATATAACAAACAACTAAATAAACAATGAATGATGTTTTTTTACAATCGTTGTTGCTATGTTGACTTCATATAGATTAGTCATCTCTAGAAAACAGTTTCATAAATTGAATGTTCATAAAAGTACTAGTCGATATCTTGATGCGTTCATGCTTGTGAATGCGATTGCATATCCGTTGACCCAACTGAACAATTGCTCATACGATTCAGTATTAATATCTGTTAATAATGCATTTATTTTTTGATCTAAGCTGTTTTCACACTGATTGTCTTTGTGATTGACAAGGTGCATACGATCAATATTGTACGTTCTTGTATTTAAATGAAGAATCATTGTTGTTACATAGAATTCTTTTTTTATTTGACTATCAATTAAACAATGACTTAAATGGCAAACGTCGTCGTAGGCAATGCATGGTGGAAGTGATGGTAAAATATTAACAATCGAAAAATTTCTTTGAATGCTACTGTAACATTACAGTTGGTTACATACACAATTATAACATAAGAGCACATGCGTTTATCAACGTATCTATTGAACATTTTTTTTAAAATTGAACCATTTTGGGGGTGCGGTTGGGTGTCAAAATATATAACTACCTACACCCACTTACACCTGATACATGAAATCAGCATTGTTATTGTATCTATATATTATTCGCAATGCTCTTTATTGCACTGTGTTACGATATTCACGTAATTTCATGATATTACAATGTATGTGTACTACAATGTGAAAATCAATATTTTTCATCAAAAACATTTAGTTTGTTTTTTTCGATTAGTACTGTTTTCATAAAAAGGTGTATCTGACGACAACTAACCTTTGAGAGTGATAGTCACAGGGTAAATGTGCAATTAAATTTAGATGTTTTTTACACTATCAAATAAATCAAAAGAAAGACATTGGTAACAAGTGTGAATTTCATATTTTTGTTGTATTACATGAATAGTAACAAAGCATTGCTTATATTTTCCCATATGTTTCTCTATCACATGTGCATGTCAGGTATTGTCATGTGAGGATAGTAATAAATTGTTCTTGAGGACTGAACACAACTCTCTTCGTTTCTTTACCTTCATATATATATACACACCTACTCTCATAGTTTCACAAACCAGTTCTCATCTTACTCTAGTTTTACTCTTCACTACATTATTACTATTAATATGCCAGGCTGTGGTTGTGGATGCGGATGTGGTTGTGGCTGTGGATGTGGTTGTGGCTGTGGATGTGGTTGCGGTTGTGGTTCGTGCTGTAGTTCATGCTGTGATCCATGCTGTTGTGACCCTTGTTGTTGCTCTTGTTGTGATCCTTGCTGCTGCGGTCCAAAATGTTGTGTAACTAAAACTGTGTGCTGCTGCAAACCATGTTGCAAAGTCATCAGAAAGAAAACTGTCACCGTCAAAAGATCATGTGCCAAGGTTTGCTGTTGCTAAATGAACATTTTCGTTCAATATCTATGAACTCATTCAATATCTATGAACTCATTCAATATCTAATGTATCAATGTTAGAGTACTCTCTAACAGCATTCGTATTATTCTTTCTTTTTCTTATTTTGCCCTTTATTTTTGTTTACTTCTTGCACAGTTAGAAAGAAGATGATGTAATTCATCTTCTTTCTTCTCTTTATTTCCTCTGCTCATCTCTCTCTTTCACTTGTATGTGCTTGAAGAGGATGGGTATGAATAGCTAGTTTTTTAAAATAAAATCATTTAGTGGATAAGTAAAAAATTCTTCTTCTGATTCAATCAATTTAATTACAAGAGGATGTTGTAATTATAAAGAAAACAATTTGTTTGTTTATTCTTTATGCATTTGGTTTCTGTCGGAGTCAATGCAATAAAACCATCTTGAGGGTATGGGTGTGTGTATTATTCACATCTCTGAACCCATACTCACTTATCTACACGACTCACACCCTCAAACCATTTCTTGTTTAAAAAAAGGATGATTGCACGATGATATTTACTTCAATTCATAGAAAAAAAAAGAACAGAAGTGACACTTTTAAATCAGATCAGCAATATCCATCGGCATTTCTTGGATGCTTGTATTATAGAATTTTTCAATGTCGCGTAATGTTTGTTGTTCATTCTGAGTGATGAAAGTGATAGCTGTACCTTTGCGACCGAATGCACCATAACGTCCATTACTTAATCAAAAAAGAATAAAGCTTATTTCCATTGAACATTTATTCATTCTTACCGTCGTATATACTGCTCACGATGAATCGGCAATTCGTAATTGATTACAAGAGCAACTTGTGGAACATCAGTATTATTTAAAAGTGCATCGGTTCTTGTCAAGATTCGACTGGAACCCGTTCGAAATTCGTTCATTGCATTATTGTATTGTTTAGCATCCATATTACCATGCTATCATATAAAGAAAAAAAGAAATTCATGTAACGATATATGACTTTCCAGCCGCTTATTTCAAAATTATCAATATGAAACTAACCAGAGCAGACGCTGTGAAACCACGCTCACGTAGTTTTTCAGTTAACCAGTCGACCTTTCGGTATGTGTTACAACAGATAACAGCTGGAGCGGTCGTCAGTGTATCGAGCAAATCATATAATGTATCTATTTTCCATTCCTAAATAAAAAGCATTCCGCATCAGATCATCATTATAATTAGAATGACAGGTACGTCTATTTACCTCACGTTCGATATTGATGTAAAATTGACGTATACCTTCAAGTGTCCGATTGTCTGACTCAAGAAGAATTTTTACAGGATTATTCATAACTTTTTGTGTCATTTCGCATAGATCTTGAGGCATTGTAGTCGATAAAACAATAATCTGGATATGTGCTGGCAGTATCGTTCGTATTTCATTAATTTGTTCGTGGAAACCTCGATAAAGAATCTCATCTGCTTCATCTAATATCAATATTTCCATTTTTTCACTACCTACAATGAGAAAGAAAATACAAATTATCTTATATATAAGATAAATTACGTACAAAGTACTGATTTCTTCAACATATCACAAATTCGACCAGGAGTACCAACAACAACTTGAGCACCTGCTTCAAGACGCTTCATATCGTCACGAATTTTCGTACCACCAACACAAGGATGACATGTTACATTCATATGCTCACCGAGTGCTAATACTAATCTATGAAGCTAAATCACAAGCATAATTCACATACAAATTATACAGAAAAATGATACCCCTTGAGAAAGTTCACGCGTTGGAGCTAAAATTAATGCTTGACAGTCGTTACAGTCCATATCGATTTGTTGTAAAATTGCAATAATACATGCTGCTGACTTGCCTGTACCTGATTGTGCTTGCACAATTATATCACGGCCTGCAAGAAGAATGAGTATTCATTGGATCGATCTTATTTTTTTTAGAGATGGTAGTCAACGAACCTGATATACATGGTTTAAGAGTTCGTTGCTGCAGCTCTGCAGGACGCTCGAAACCATAACTATAGATACCTCGTAAAAGTGATTCTCGTAAGTTCAGTTCATCGAAATGTTCGAATTGTTTTATAGAGTCATTTAGCGTGGTTTCATCTTGCGCAAGGATATATGGATGCGCATTTAACTCAGTGTCATCTCTAAAAACATATATCAACAATTGAATAATTCAAATAATACTCATAAAAGAAACAGTGCATACTTCAAAGAAGATTTGGTGTTGTTGTCGTTGTTTGCTTCAGATACCGTTATGCTATTACTCATAGATGAAAACAAAAAAGTAATGTATTTAAAATTCAATCGATCGATCTACAAAAAAAAATCAAGAATGCAATCAATCACTCGAAAGTTAATCAAAAACCATCTATAGATCGGCTTCATTTATATTCCATTTCACACATGTCGAAGAAGAAAAAAATCGATGAAAACTGTATTATAAACAAGTACTCGTTGAAAAAGAAAACGTACACTATTCATGACGAATGTATATTTACATGATTGTAATTTCGAAATTTCTCCACGAGTAATAATGAGTCAGAAAATAATACATATCTTTTATACGCACGAACCAACCAATCGTTACTTTCAACAATTTCAAACAAAAACGCAGAGAAAGTTTACATTGTTAACATTGTAAAATTTTTATAATTGTAATAATCGATATTACTCTATTTACTTTCTTTTTATCGAGCGCTACAATCTTTCACAATGATCCTCCAACCACACATTCGATTTATTTCTTATCATGAATATCGTGAACTTTTTACTATAGCAGATACTACCACTCTTCTTGACTCTCAGTCATATCTGAAAAATATAAGTAGTAAAAAAGAATTGTGATAAAATTAAATGTTGAGATAGTTTTCTTCTACTGAAGATGTCTATTGCAATAAACTAATTGACTTGTTTTATTATTATAGAGTTGATAATAGACTAATATGGAACTTTTTGTTTATTATAGGCTGACTTAAGAAACAACTTCGTGGTCTAATTGTATTTTTAAATGAATTGATAGCTTGATCAGCAAACAGTAGAAAGATTTCAGTGCAAATCAACTTGGAAAATTTTATTACGAAATCTCTAGTAAACATTGGTTGAATAAAATTTATTGTTTTAAAAGTGATTATTGTTGAATATATTGATAATTAAAAAATAAGAAATTATTTTTAAAATTTTACACTGAAACAACATTCTGCACAACGAAACATACAAATACAAAAAGCAGAGTAGTGAAAAGCTTCTAACTAATGTACAACAATTCTCTGTGATGATACAATATGAGTTCATAGCTTGTTATTTAATGGTTGCTCTACCAGGAGTCACGTTCGTATTTACAGGCGTCACACCGTTTTGATTTTTGCCAAAATAACAAAAACAGCGTTTGACTTGCTGGCGAAATGTTGTTGAGACAATGAGAAATACATAGAAACCACTCTTTAGACAAAGAAAAAATAATTAACAAAATGATAAAATAAGTGATGTCTTACTTACTCCATATGCAAGAGCAGTCAAAGAATTGAAAACATTAAAGATGAAATATTCAATACCTACTTGTTCCGTCGTTTTGTTCACAGAAATTGATGCTGATGAGTACGCACGGAAAATACCGTCGGGCAAAACAGAAATAATAATTAATACTATTTGTCCAAAAATCATATAAGTAAGTTGACGATCAACTCCTTGCAGTTGACGTATATTTGTTAAAGTGCGGATATTTCGATATGCAAGTGTACCGAATACAATGACAGTTGCCAGCGGAATTATTATATAGAAAAACCAATGATTAACATAAGTGTAGTAAGTTCCCCAAATGACATTGTGATTGCCACAGACGTTCGCGCTAAATATTAAGAAATACAGGTATAGGAAAATGACATGAAACTTTTAAGCTGGTTTCTTCTTTTCCCTATTCATACTCATTGTCAAAATGATAAATTCCACAGAAATTTTTTTATAATTCTCTTCAATTAATGAATGATTAAGTTTGAAATTATACTAGAAATACCTACTTTTTACATTTTCATAATCTGTTTATAATTGTAAAAAACCAAATAGGTAATTTAAAAATTACATTTTATTGTTAATATAAACAACTAATCATCAGTAACATTACGTTAACCATGCATTTCTAATTTGATCATCTAGATATCTTATCTACATTGAAGCATATACTAAGTTTTGTCATAATCTTTAATACGTTATTAGATAAGAAATTCTGACAGTTGTTGTAATCATATACATAAATTTACTGTTAATTAATTCACATAGAAAACTGATATATGCATTTAAGAAAATCGCAAATCTCTCAAAATTATTATATTAACTTCTTCTTCTTGCTATAATTAGCTCTGAACTTGACACCTTAGTTTTCGTTGTGAATTAAATTAAAATATAAATTATAACTTACTAACCTTATATAAGTGAAAATGAGATCCGGTACAGATGTAAATGTCCAAAAAACAACTACACCAGCACCAATACAATAAGCCCATTTGATCTTGCTCAATTGTCGTAGATTAGCAGATCGTGAGGTCATCAGAAAACGATCAATCGTTGCTAACCATTCGCATGTCATTGCTACACCATAACAAGTATCAACAAGATATGCTCTTATTTTGCACCATCCAGGTGAGAGAAGAGTTAAATCTATATTAAAACCAATAGAGGAAATACGAGATATTCCTACAGCCAAATACTGCACAGATTGTGCAATTGCTGCTATAAGTAGAAAAAATGTGCATGGCTGAGTACGATACATACGCGAAGTCGAAAGTATTATTGTATTCATTAAACTACCAAAAAGACCTATACAACAGAATGGAAAAAACGCATAAAGTGTATATATTTGAGTGATGTACAACCATGATGCCATATTTTATGCCTGTTTATTTGCAAAATATTTTCACTAAATATTGTTTGTGCACTGTTGAAAGAGAAAATATATAGCTATATGTACACTCTGTTTTACAGAATGCTTGGAAAATCTAATTACATAACGTACATTTTGAATGGATGAGAGCGAACGAGTCATTATCTTCGTATTTACATCCACACATAGATCTATCACTTTTCATTCAAAACTCCATCGTCATCATTTCATTCTATTATAGTCCTTAAGTTCTATGAATTTACTGAATTTTAGAGTGATATAAATCTTCAAAGTAAGATAACTTTTCAGTTCTGAAATTCGTAAGAATTTATTGTTCTTCAAGTTCAGATACGCCTCATTTTATTATGTAAAAATCTTTTTTTTCTCAGAACAAAACATATCTGCAATAGTGTTGCGACAGACTCAATAGTTTTCTCTTATCATTTTACAAACACATTCGTTAGAGAACGTCTTGAATCATTCAATAGTAATAAATACTCCCTCGATACTGTTTGTAACACTACTTACCAAATATCTGATTAATAGAGTAAACTTTGTAAAATATAATCGTCTGAAATAGTTCTTCTTTCCTCAACTAAAAATGAAAATTATGCATTTTCCCTCCATCTATTATATGTCTTTTATTTCTCGACGTCACAGAATGCGATGAAGTAATGCATATTAAATTAAAAGTCTGAAGATTTTATTTGATATGTTTTATGCTCTCTGATTCTATTGAATTATTTGAAAAAAAAAGCATGATAATTATAAAACATTTTCTTAAAAATAGTAATTAATAGTACCCAGAAAGAAAAATCTGAATTAATATGTCCTTAATAAAGGAGTAGGTTAATATCTAATAATATTCTCCTGATGATATTTTCTAGCTGAGAAAATAGAAATATTACAGAAAGATCGATTTCCTATTAATTGATAATATGAATTGTATCTTTAAATATCTCAAGGAATAGAAATAGATTTTTAATGATATTGTCTAACTTATTCTTGATAAAGAAAACCATTTTGATAGTTGTTTTTATTATTAAAAGCAGTAATTTTAATTGATTTGAAAATAATTTTAAAGATTCTGATAGAATATTTAATTTCTGAATGAGGATTGCTGAGAACCAATAGAAATCGAGTGTTTTAATTGATTATAGATAGCATTTCTACGAGAAAGAGCTGAACGAGTTCCCAGGCGAGTATTATCTATGTTAATATTTAAAAATATGTTAAAATAAATTTTCCATCTGCAAAAACAAATTATTTTTATGAAATCAGTGATGAATAATTAATTTTAATGTTGCTATACTAAGAATATTTTTACTGATAAACACAATGGAATTCTAGAAAAGAAATAGTTTTTGCTATTTAAGATACACGTACTCATTAAATTTAACAATTAGCTAAAATATTTTTTCTATCTTATTCACATTTAATTATGTGAATAAAATATTGTCTGAGGGAGTAGATATACGGATCATATAGTCATGACATCCACATTCTCTTATTCAAGATTCGAAAAAAGATATATGTCAGAAGTTGAAAATATTATTTTACGAAAAACAGAGTCGGGTTGCGCAAGCAGCTTAACTTGAATGCCTAATGGTATGGCATAATAATTGTGACCCGTGAAAAGGTTCACAAATACTTCGAAGTATAAAGTCATCTTCTTCTTTTTCTTCTTCTTCATCTGAAAATAAATCTTGTTTTTGGTGTTTTTTACGGTATTATAAAACACCAACAAATAGTTCCATCCACGGAATTATTTAATGCGAAGTAACTGACTCGACATCAGCCGACCCCATCAGTAATATTACATAAAAGGCATATAAAATGGAAATATTTGCATGTTGTGCAATAACATATAACGGCAACAATGGAATAAAACAAACATTAACAGTAACGAAATAACTTGCATAATATAATCTCAAATTATTTAATCTACAATAGTTGACTGAATTAGAAATCATCCAATACTGTTTTTCGTTTGATTGATTATTTAAAATTAATAACGACAGAAGTATCCGTGTTTTTTACAAGTTTCTTAACTATATAATTGTTAGACATGTATCCTAGAATTCTAACATTCTTGTTGTAATAAATTCAATTGTTGCTGATCATCACATGTTTTGTTTTTCTAATCAGGACATTTAATATTTAGATATAAATAAGTGATTTATGTATCATTATTAACGAAATTTATTTTCCGTTTGTTCAGCATCTTGAAAGCCGGACGGTTGGGAGTGTGGGTATCACAGAAGAAGAGCTCTCAACACCCACACAACATATACTATATACAACAGACTATACTCAAAATCGTTGATAGCAATTATCTATTTTGATTGTTAATTACTGGCATGTTTGAGAAAGATATCTTTACTTTCAGCATTCGTTTAAATAAGCTTTTCAATACAATAATATAGTATGGGAAAGATAAATATTTATTATAAAAAATTGTTAAACTATATTAGTAAAAATATGATTGTCTTATTTTTTGTTTTCCGTTTATTTTTTTGGTTGAACAGAATCATAACTTTGCATTAAATTTGCATATTGTGGTAAATGATCAGCAAGTACTTTACCGAAACCTTGAACATCATTTCGCCAATCTCGTTGTAATTCACTACCAACTGCAAACCAATTGACTAATTGAGCACCAGCATTTTGCATTCTTAACCATGCACTATCACGTACACTTGTATTAAATGTACCACTACAATCTGTAACAACAAATACTTCAAAACCTTCTTCTAATGCTGATAATGTTGGAAATGCAACACATACATCAGTTACAATACCAGCAATAATTAATTGTTTACGACCAGTTGCTTTTACAGCTTTTACAAAATCTTCATTATCCCATGCATTGATTTGTCCTGGTCGAGCAAAATAAGGTGCATCTGGAAACATATTTTTTATTTCTGGTACCATTGGTCCATTTGGACCTTGTTCAAAACTAGTTGTAAGAATAACTGGTAATTTAAAGAATTTTGTAATATCAGCTAATGCTAATAGATTATTTCTAAAATCATCTGGACTATAATCACGTACTAATGAAAGAAGACCAGCTTGATGATCGATAAAAAGTACAGCAGCTTTATCTTTATCCAATCGATTGTATTTAAAAGGCATTGTTTTTTGTTTTGTAATAATCACACTGGTTGATAAATTGTGAAGAGAAGATATTGGTTTGATTTACTGTCTTTACATGTTGAATATATACACATTTGAAATGTATGCATCGATGCTTTCTGCTTGGTAATAATTGATCGTGGGATTAAAACCATGCGCAAGAAGAACAATGAAAAACGTATCGTCATTCTCAATATACGTTTCTATTTTTGTATATATATATATTTTGTAAAGAATAAGTACTGGTATTTTGTTGGCCCATACCTTTACCGCGTGGCTTACAACGAAAGAGTAAAGTAGATAAAAAACGTACTCAGTTTCATATGCACTTGTAGTTCTTTTTTTTTATGTAACGGAAATCGTTCAAAATCTAAATGTATTTATTTTTATTAATATTTAGATTTTGAATATGATATCTACACTAAAATCATCAGTTTATTCGTTTTTTGAAGAATATTTAAATTATTCGTATGTAAGTAATATTTTTCTACTAATAACGTTAATATCATTTAATAATATTAATCTTTAATGTGAAATAAGTAGAATCGATTTCATCTTATTTATTTTTTTGATTATTACGCAATAGAATTGTCCTATCACTCGTTCGAAAAAGTACAAGGAAAAAAAGGTTTTTATGAATCATAAGATTGTTTTTAGATACGAGTATCAAATAGTTACAGTCGACAAGAGAAAAAAAAATATATCATCGAAGCATAACTGTCGTATACCTATACAACTGAAAAGAAAAAAATTCGAAATATTATGTTTGATTAAGCGTGATAATATTCTCAAATAGAATTATTCTATGTTTCATACCCGAGCTTTTTATCTTATAATTTTACTATAAATTTTTTTATAATAAGTTGACACATCTTGAAGATGTGAGTGTGGATATGATATTGCTCCTATATCGACACCCTCAAGATTTCTTGATTTCTAACAATTTATTCGAATATATAAATATTTAAACGTGATTGACAATGTAAAGCATAGTTCATCGTAGAATATCAATCGAACTATTACAAAACAAAAAGTAATATAAATGATTTTAATAACGAATAAATTGTTGTACTCGATTGTTATACGTATCTGCCACATATAAATTTCGTTGAGAATCGAGTGTTACTGCACAAGGCTTATATAGAAACGTATTATTGGAACCCGATTGACCACTTACACCAACAATTGTCGTGCCATTAGTTTGACCAGCCAGAAATAGTTGAATACGATGATTATCTCTATCAGCAATATAAAGATTACCCAGGGAATCAAGAGTAACACCAACAGGATAATTAAGAAGGTCTGATGAACTTCCACTAGTTCCAGTACTACTTCCAGCAACAAGAACCCAATTAGTTGCACCTATTACCCAACGAACAATATTATTTGAACCTGCATTAGCAATAATTAAACTGTTCGATGACGAATCAAAATAAAGACCAACAGGATAATTCAGTTGTGTACTTCCTGTTCCTAGACCATTTCCTCCAGCAACTACCGTTCCTGAAGATGCACCTGATAAATAACTCATAACACGACTATTACTCTGATCAACTATATATAAAGTACCAGAACTTGAGTCAAGCGCAATACCAAATGGATCAATCAATAGATTATTTGCAGAACCAGTAGAACCTATTATTGAAATTAAATTCTTATGATATATTTCTATATAATTATATTATTTCTTACCTTGAATACCAGCAACCGTTGTGCCTGAAACTGCACCATTCGACCAATACTGAACGCGATTATTACTTGTATCTGTTATATAGATGCCACCACTTGAATCTAACACAATTCCACTTGGTTGATAGAATTCCGTAGAATTTGTACCAGCTATTCCACCTGAATCTCCAGCTATTGTTGTTCCAGTCATTGCTCCTAATATCCATTTTTGAATTCGATTATTTTGTTGATCAGCAATATAAAGTGTATTTGATGAATCCAATGCTAAACTAAATGGATGATCAAGTTGATCAGCAGCAGCCGTAGTGATAGAACTTCCAGTACCAGCAACCGTTGTACCTGTTACATTCCAACGATACAAAAATGTTGCTGCTACAATATAAATAAAATATTTTTCATATATTATGAAAATAGAGAAGAATATTATATAACACTCTAGAAAAACAAAAAACTTACTTGTTGTTGAAGATATACTAGATGTCGGCGTAGCTATATAGAACAGAGAAATTTTTTTAATCAATAACAATCTTTATGAAATATTAAACAACAAACTGATATTTATTATTGATGTGGTTGTATTATTGTTAGTATTTGCATTTGATGATGATGTATTGGATTGTAAGGCTAAATAATAATAAATTAAATCATAGAAAAGGATGCCTTTTGTAATTTGCATATAAATCAAAAATTTATTATTTATAGGATTGAATCTAAACAAGGGTATGATTTATTTACAAAGAAAAAAAAACGTACTTTTTATAAGAAGAAATATAACAGCACCAATCAAAAGCAGAATGACAGCCACTACGCCTATTTTGAAAAGTATGCCACCCTTTCGTTGATAAAATGATCGTCTTTATAAAGAAAATAGTCTTTGGTAAATTCGAATGTAAAACATACTTTTTAGGTTGTTCAGTTATTTTTGATGATTCATCTTTTTTCGTTTGTGAATTATCTTCAGGTTTTGGTAAAACTTGATTTTTTCGTATCGAAATTCTTTTGTTATTATCGATTGATTTCAGATCATCATGGCTGACATGTTTAATTTCAGCTCGAGAAGACGTCGTGCTACGACAGAGTGATCGAAGATCATCTCGACTGAGACGTCTAACCTTTGGACGGATTGAATTTTTTGCACTACAGATTGATCGAAGTTCTTGTTGAGTAATCTTCTTATGATCAATACGAGCAGATTTTGGAATTATTCTTACTGGCATAGTTTTTTTGCGTCTTATTAAATTATTCAGTATGAAATTATACCTTTATATACTTCTTATATAGTATCGATTTGTTTTCATTCATTAAACAAAAAAAGAAACCTTACATTTATACAGAAAAATTCATTTCTGTATTTTACTCGATAATACAAAAGTTGATTAGAAAAAACGAAAAGAAATGACGATCATGCCATTTTCAAGTTGCTTTTTTCAAACATTAGTAAAGAATGAAAGTAGGTTAATCTTCAAGGTGGGCGTGGGTGGGTGAGTATTCTACTTATTCATTAGCCATGCCCACACTCACAAGATTCTTCGATTAATATATGTTATATTAAATTAGAAATATTTTTGTTTTCTTTTCTGGATAACATTTTATTCTTATTTATTTAAACAAAAATAGTATTCAATTATCCACGACATCCACTTTGTTGTTGAGCAGTGTTGAATGCCTTCGATCCAAATGCATTGACAACACTAAAAAGAAGGTTTCCATCCACCTTACACGCAACTTGCCGAGTATTAGACCACCATTCGAACCAACCACCAAGTTTACCACACGCGGAATTGAGACATGATTCAAAATTGTTGTCACATCGAGATTGCGTTTGACCGCATGTTTCGTAGCATATATCGTGTGTGTTGCAACATTTGATTAGTACACCTTCACCAACAGCTTGAAGTAGCCAATTGATGGTTAGACCACCTTCAGCACCACATCCATTCGCTACACGAACCATACGGTTCTTAATTGTTGGATTTCCATATGTTGTTTCGATGCAAATAGCCACTAACATAGCCATGATAAAAAATCCGGTGTTCGAAGGTATTGAAATCATGTTAGCAAAAAAATACTACTACGATGTAACTAGATGCCATATTGCTTGCTTTTTTATACTATTCTTTCAGGACTATCGTTCTTACGCTTTGTATTTACAAATGGCTTACGATAGACTAAAATGAAATGAAGGGATTGGAGATAAGCATAGCGAAATTGATACTTAACCGTGATTTTCTACGAAATCATCGTAGTTACCTGATTATTTCGGTGAAAATATATCGTTTGTTGAGACTAACGTAGGCTTTTCGTCGAAAAAGAAAAAAACAATAACAATTATTCGGCTGCAGATGTGAGTAGCTTATCAGAAGCGAAAATTACATATTTTTTCCGTGAAAAAAATTGAAAATAACCAATGACTAACAAATTCACTGAAAGTAGCTCTTGGAATTCGAATACGACACTTATGATGCTCAGACAAAAGTTGTATGTAACCAACATGAAATGAGACTTTGAAATATTCTTTTAGGTTGGTCATAAATGAACTTTGAAGAAAGAGAAAATGTCGGCTCTCTTTTAAAATCAAATGGATAAAAAATGAAGACGAGCACGAAGAACTTAATATAACTGAAATATGTTGAGGGTGTGATGTGAATGAGAATTTGAAAAAAGCACCCATACCCACACCCTCAAGATGGTTTAACTGACTTTCGAGCATACAAAGACAAGCTATTTGCGCGAGTCGAAAGATACATGTATCGAAATGATTCTTTATTGGTAAAATTGAATAAGATGATATGGATTATAAAAAAATTAAAATTTGTTATATAATAATGTCAATTGGAACTATTCGAAGTTTTTGAATGATCATTATGTTTACTAGAAATAAAGGTATTTGTATTTATTTCTGATAATGGCACATATAATTCAGCACTTTTGAGACTACCACTAAAATCGTAGCCACCAAAAGCTAATATGGTTCCATTTGTTAATGCAGTTAGAGCAAATTTCCATCGTTCACCATTCATGCTATCAATACTTGTCCAAGTTTCAGCTAATGGATCATACAATTCAACACTACTTAGGTATCTATTCTGACCGTCTCCACCAGCAATCATTACTTTTCCATTTGTCAACATCACTGCGCTGTGATCATACCGTGCAGTCAACAAATCACTAGTAGTTTTCCATGTTTCTGTTGATGGATCATATAATTCAGTGGTGTTTATAAACGTGTCACTCTTAAATCCACCAGCAACCAATACTTTTCCATTTGTTAATACCGATGCTGTATGAAATTCCCGCCAAACATGCATAGGCTCAGTCAATGTCCAGGTATCCGTTGATGGATTATAGAGCTCAACATCATTGGAATATGGACCACCAAGAACTAGTATTTTGCCATTCGGTAAGATTGATGCTGTATGACGATTTCGTTCCCTTTTCATGCTTCTACTAATTGTCCAATTTCCCGTTAATGGATCATACAATTCAGTACTATTCAGGATCGTATGATCACTGAAGCCACCAGTCACTAATACAGTACCGTTTGCCAATACGGATCCTGTGTGCTGAAATCGTGCATATGTCATTTTGCCAGTCATTGTCCAAAGTCCTGTTGATGGATCATACAACTCACAACTATTTAGAGGTCTGCTACCGTTGTCCTGTCCGCCGGTGATTAATACTTTTCCATTTGGTAATACGGATACTGTGTGATCACCTCGTCCATAATTCATACTACCAGTAGTTGTCCAAAGTCCTGTTGATGGATCATATAGCTCAGTACTGGCTAGAGAAACTTCATTATTAAATCCGCCGGAAACTAAAACTTTCCCATTTCGTAGCAGCACTCCTGTAGGTAACAGTCGTCCATCATTCATACTACCAGTTGGTTTCCAACTTCCTATAACTGAATCATATACTTCAACAGTATCTAGAATACCAATATTATTATTAAATCCGCCGATAACTAGTACTTTTCCATTTGTTAATACTGATGCTGTATGATCGTATCGTCCATCATTCATACTACCAACATTTGTCCAGATTCCAGTCGATACATCAAACATTTCAGTGCTATCTAGAGAACCGATACCACTTGCTAATCCACCAGTCACCAAAAGTTTTCCATTTATTAATAGAGATGATGTGTGGTCGGATCGTATTCGTTTCATTCTAGTAGTCATTGACCAGGTCCTTGTCCAGGGAGTATACAATTCAGCACCACTTGAGTCACCACTATCTACACTGGTGCCAACAACTAGAAATTCTCCATTCCTTAACAAAGATGCTGTTGGACGAATTCGTGCATAAGTCATACTATTAGTAATTCTCCATTCTGCTCCTTGAAGATAAATTTCAGCATTAGTTATGTAAGCACTATCATTATATCCACCAAAAACAAAGACTTCTCCATTTGGAAATACGGATACAGCATGCGATGATCGTCTGTCCTGCATACTACTAATCACTGTCCATATTCCTGTTGACGGATCATATAATTCAGTACTATTGAGACTACTATTGGCATTCATTCCGCCCATAATTAACACTTTTCCATCTGGTAATAATGATGCTCGGTGTTTTTGTCGTGGATAATTCATACTACCCGTCAATATCCACATTTCTGTTGATGGATCAAACAATTCAGCACTATCTAAAGCATCACTTAAATTATTACGTCCACCAGTAACTAAAACTTTTCCATTTAACAATATCGATGCTGTATGATCGCATCGTCTATCATTCATAGGACCAGTCATTGTCCAAGTCTCCGTTGAAGGATTATAGATTTCAGAACTATTGAGAAAGCCATCATAACTAATTCCACCAACAGCTAACACTCGATCATTTTTTAGTACAGATGTTGTATGTGCCTGTCGTGCATTGTTCATTTTACCAGTATAAGACCATACTAAATAAGAACATTACAGTTTAGTCATTCTGCTTATAACTAACAGACTAGTTTTTCTCGAAAAAAATGTATCAAATCATCTAACAATATTTTGTAGGTAGTTAAGGCTTATATTGAGCAATTCAGTGATTCTATTCACGTCATTTCATGTCCTAATATGAAGTCTGTCGTCAAGTTTGGCATAAAATATACTCGATACTTGTTCAGATTCTCCAAAGCGTTCAGATAACATTTATCTAATACTGATAATGAACATCTCATCGATCAGAATGATGTGCTTTTACGCTGGTGAGATATGTTACTTCTGGAAATTATTTTTATCGAAAGTAGAGGTTATTAAGGTTAATGACCATTATTTAAAAGCTTACCTGATTGTTGAGTTGTAGTTGTTGTTGTTAAGGTTGATGTTGAAGTTGTCTGAGAAGATGTCGATGTTGTTGTTGTTGTTTCAGACGATGATGATGCAGTGACTGTAGTAGTGTTCAAATTCTTTGGTGTTGTAAAAACGAATCACCACAACAAAGAGAAAATAACTACTAAGATTATTAAAAATATAAGGAAGAACAAGGCAATATTAAACAAGCGATGATGCCACCATGTAGATGATCGATAGTTTTCAACATCAAATTCAGAATAACCTGATTTTTTTTTCATAGTATATTCTATTAAAAATTCAGTTAAATAAAAAAGCCAGTTTTTATTTAAAATTACCTTTAAGATATATAAATATCCCTAACAGTGTCACTCAAAACACAAAAGATAAATAATATTGTATGGTATGTCATGAATACAGTTATGCTTTAAATTTTACAGGTGAGTATGATTATACACAACGGTGTTTTACTTATCAGTTGTTTGATATCGAATAGAGCCCGTATAAAAATCTTTTTTCGTATTCATCTTATATTATAGCTCAAGAAATTTTCTTTCTTGTTATATGTTATAGATACCTCTTGTTTGTTGATGTTTTTACTGGAAGGAACACTTATTTAAATAAATTCATAACAAAGCGAGTAAAATATTTTAACTACTGGCAGAATTATAAACAAGATATTCTAGTGAAAGTATTTTTATCAAATAGTAACCATAATTTTGCGTATAATTTATCTCGGGGTGAGTGTGCGTGTTGTGGTTGCGGGTACTATTCTCCTCATTCTCATTCACACCCACACCCACACCCAGACCCACAGCCTCAAGATTTACAAAGAACAAAAAGTATCTTTTAGAGATTAGTTGTACATTATATCATATTCTAACCAACACTCAATCTTTCAAAATGTAGAATGGCTTTGAATTTTTGAAGGCTGTTTTTTATGTAACAATGTACATCATCAAAGAAAAAAGAGAAAGTTATATTACAAAAAGTCCATTCAAAATAAATGTTTACGCCATAAGGAATAAGTTTTTATTAAATGTACAGAACTTCAACGAAAATTCTTATCGTACGTAGAAGTTAATAACTATTAACTACTGTTACTTTGTTAAGTGGGAATCTACATCAATCTCTACATCTACACTCTCAATGATATATTTTGGTATTTGATAAATGATTAATCATGTTCGAATAGATTATATGTTTTTTGCAAAAACTATTTTTTCAGTCATACAAACATAGCGAGAAAATTCTACTAAGCAAATCTTTCTTTACTGTTTATTTTATATATTTTCTGCCATAATTATTTAATAGATAGAAAATACATATGAAAAATGATGTTTACATTTCTATGTATTAGGATTGTGACAATCTTTGAATATATGAACATGCATTACTAATTTTGGAAGCATAATACATAATATTAAAGATCCAATAGAAAGAGAAAGCCACGTGACACGATAGATAATCGGATCCAATTTGTTTTGAGATATCCAAAAGATAATTAGATAGATAATAGTTGGTATGTTCATTACACTAAGTATAAAAATCATTATTATAATACGATGAATTACTTTTACATCTCGTCTATTACGTAAAAATGGTAATTGCTTAGATGAACGCTGTCGTATTGTTCGAACAATTTTAACATAACATGCAGAAATAATTATAATCGGTATCCAAACTTCTGCAACAGAAGCATATACAACTGCTGAAAATTTTTCAAATTGTACACCACAATACATTTCATTTGGAAGTAAAAGATGAATACCATTTAGACGAGTCAATAGAGGCATAACAATAGCAAATGCGATTAACCATTGAATTGGAATGAATAGAAAAAGATAAATTTTAATATGATTAATCCATGAATTCATCGGATAAACGACACGTATAAAACGAAAAAATACTTGTAAAGAATAACTCCAAAAGACACTACAAATAACAGAAAAGAATATAAAACCACAAAGACGACATTCTATTGAATCGAATTTCCATCGAAATAAATTCATATTAAAATCATGACATATCGTTGATAGATTAACATGTATAAATAACACGATAAACATTGATATAAATGCACATAATGTATTCAATGTTAAATACAATGAAATACGTTCACTTTGTCCTATATACATAGTTACTAATCGATAGATAATAAGAAAGACAAGAATTAAACTTATAATAAATGCAAATAGAACAATAATAGCTGATATAATATTGATTGATATAGCTACAATTGTTGTTGATATTGTTGAATTCAACATTGGAAATAATATACTATTGTATTTTAATATCGTGAGAAATGAATAAAGGTTGACATCAAATACTTTTGATATTCTGAAAAGAAAAAAATTAATTATAATTCATTTTATAGTTAGTGTTACTCCAAGACATATTCTTGTCAGTTTGAAAAATCTTATAAAAAAAATAGATTTATTGTTAATTTGACAATCGACTTACTATTATTTTTCTTCAAGGGTTCTTATATTAATCTCTTCGATTACTGTTTTATCATTAAAGAAAATGTGATAAAGTACAGAACAAAGTACTTCTTTTATGAATATCTTTCCAAAAAACAACAAGAGTCAATTAATCGACAAACTTACATCTGCTAAAACTTGATATACATATAAGTATTATACAAAAATTACTCAAATTTAGTATAGATAATAATGTTAATGAAGAACGTAAGAAGTGACACTCTTGCAAGAATGAAAGAAATAAGAATTGAAGTAGAGACAAGTAGAACGACGCATTTCTTTTCTTTATTGAGATCTTGATAGTGTCAACAGATTGAGTAGTAATTTTTATTTCTTATAAAATTCATACGATAAAATAAAGACACAGAGCAATTAGTAAACAAAATGACATCTGTCAGTACTTCCAATTCAGAATGACAACATCATTAATATTAATATTAATATTCTTTCTTTTTCATTTATGTCATGTTTACAAGAGAAAAATCAATTGAACACGTGTTGATCTGTTTCACACAAGAAAAATTTAACAAAAGGTTAAACAATACTTGAAACATGTTTCTAATCAAACTAGAATAGACAACGTTACATGTTATCTTTTTTGAATATCATCTGGACTGGGGCATAGTGCTTAGTGCGGAGAGGTATTCACAATAAAAAGTCTTCCTGGTGAATACGATAAAAATGTAAATATGTATGATTTTCTGTTACAATGGTCGTTATTCGATCTTTTTTTTTTGAAAGAATAATATTGTGGTTTTGATGAATACTGAATGACCAATTTGTAATGTTGCAGTTGTTATCGAACACTATTAGCAATATTTCATACTGACATATTATCGACAATGACCAAGAACTATGATCACCAAATCTTGTTATTATATAAATTGTTTATCAATCTTTACATTCTTTTTTATCATTACTGATTAAAATAAAATAATACACCTAATTGTGCGTAACACCCGGGCAGATATCGGTATACCTTTAGAAAAAAAAATGAAAAGAAGCGGGTGGTCCACTTAAAAATATAATAACGCCTGCTGAATCTTCAATATATCGCTTGATGCTTTATCCTTTCTTTAATTACATTTTTTCTGTATTTGTCAGAGGGTAGATTAGGACGATTAGGAGTAATGGAAAGAATATTAAATTTCAATTATATTGACTTAAGATATTATCTGTGTTTTAGAAATAAAAACACACAATTTTTCATTATATTCTCTTATTCTAAAATCAACTATGAATACATTCAATATTCATTATTATATCGTTTTCATTATTCTCAGGTAAATAATTGTTCATTTTTACTATTCATTTTATTAACATTCATCGATTTCATATTTTAGTATTACAGGTTTGATTTCTATTCTATTTCATATATGTTTATATGTATTAGTTTAACACCTTCATAGTTCAAATACAATCTCAAATATGCGAAAAAACTGCTCAGTATGGCCAGTGTTCGACAAACAATGCTTGTGGCTGTTTTCATATATTAGGTGCTGATGACGGTGCTGGTATTTGTGGCTTTCTTTGGCCCATATGCTCTCGTCTTGTACCATGCAATTCATCAGACAACTCATGTCTTCAGTCTAACACGATCTGCGTTCAACATCCGCAATGTGATGATCGTCCTCTTTGCTATCCAGTTACAATGATGAAAGAAAACATATGTCCACCAATGATAAGTGAGTGTATCAGTGGATGATAGATGCAATTATAAATTTGATCTGTTTTAGTTAATATCAATTCGAAATGGAAACAAAATGCAATAACTATTGCTGGAGGAAATGGACAGGGAAGTGAATTAAATCAATTAAATCAGCCTTATGGTATGTATGTTGATAATGATGATCAATGTATTTACATTGCTGATGGTGGCAATCATCGTATTGTTAGATGGGAATTTGATGCAGCCAATGGTCAAATAGTTGCGGGTGGAAACGGAATGGGAAGTGCAATAAATCAATTGAATTATCCAATGGATGCAATTCTTGATAGAGAGAAAAAACATCTCATCATTTGTGATTATGGCAACATGCGAGTCGTGCGATGGTCTCGCCAAAATAGTCAGGATCAACAAATATTAATACCTTTTATTGGTTGCTGGGGTTTAGCAATGGATAATAATGGAGATCTTTATATTTCTGACATGGAAAGACATCAAGTCAGACGTTGGCAAGAAGGAGATAGAGAAGGTACAATTGTAGCAGGTGGGAATGGACAAGGAAATCAGTTTAATCAACTCAGTAATCCTACCTATATTTTTGTCGATGAATATTATTCAATTTATGTAGCGGATACTAGAAATAATCGTGTGATGAAATGGATGAAAAATGCAGCTGAAGGCATTCGTATTGCTCCAACGCAAGTTCCTGAAGAAAATCCTGGTTCAATGGTTGGTCCCACTGGTGTGATTGTTGATCATATGGGTAATATTTATGTGTCGAATATGGGAAGTCATCAAATAACCCGATGGTCGCCAGATGAAATGGAAGGTGCGCCTGTCGTTGGTAAGAAAGAAGATGGAAGTGGATCCACGCAACTCAGCTATTCATATGATTTATCATTTGATCGATATGGTAATCTTTATGTTGTCGATACAGAAAACAATAGAATACAAAAATTTATTATTAATCTTGACTGAAACAGCTTTTGATGATAAAATGACATTTGATAAACAATTGTTTTTTGTCACTTTTAAAATATTTTTTATTAGTGAAGAATAAAGTTCATTAAAAGTATGAATAATTAAAATCTAATTTATCATTCATCTTACAGATACAATTCTTTCAAATTCCTTTTTTAATATTTATAAATTGTTTACCAATTGAAACAATACAATGCTTTAATAGAAAGGTTTGAGGGTGTGGGTATGGCTTGAATGTAGCTGAAAAGAACATGATACTCACACCAACACTCATACCCGCACTTCACATAGCTGTTGAAGATTTTGATAAAGGTATTGCTGACGTCACATAGAGTTGCAAGTAATTCTTTTCATTCAGAATTACTTTTCTTCTAAGTGTTTGTATTTTATCGATTAAATACTACCGAAAATATTCTCCTTCTCCTATTAAATACAAATCAAAAGTATATCTGAAATTACATTCTAAAGCAATAGTTCTTTCCAATATTGAAAACGACTATTCCTGACAAATATTTCACTCTTTAAAAATATATTAATACCACTTGAATCTTAACTTTATCACATGATGACCCATGCATTTTTTAATTTCGTTTTTATTGTATTTGTTATAGAATAGAATCAAAACGATTACAAAGAAATGAAAGCAATATCAAATTTCCAATTATGGATATCTGAATAAATGAATCTGTTATATTTCAATTAAATTGGCTTAAGATACCATCGATATTTTAGAAATAAAAGCACACGTTTCTGCACAATATTGTTTTAGTTTACAACTAATGATGGCTACTATTATGATCTACAGCTACGTTATTTTCATTGTTCTCAGGTAAATAATTGTTCATTTTTATCATTCATTTTGCTAACATTCACCAATTTAATATTTTAGCATAACAGGTTTGATTTCTATTCTATTTTATTTGAGTTTATATGTATTAGTTTATCACTTTCATAGTTCAAATACAATCTCAAATATGTGAGAAAACTGCTCAGTATGGTCAGTGTTCGACAAACAATGCTTGTGGCTGTTTTCATATGTTAGGTGCTGATGACGGTGCTGGTATTTGTGGCTTTCTTTGGCCCACATGCTCTCGTCTTGTACCATGTAATTCCTCAGACAACTCATGTCTTCAATCTAACACGATCTGCGTCAAACATCCACAATGTGATGATCGTCCTCTTTGCTATCCAGTTACAATGATGAAAGAAAACATATGTCCACCAATGAAAAGTGAGTAGAGCATTGGATTATAGATGCAACATTCTTATTCACACTTTCAAGATATGTACAATTATACATTTTATTTGTTTTAGATAAAATGAATCTTAAATGGAAATTAAATTTCTCTATCGTTGCTGGGGGAAATGGGTTTGGATACGACTTAAATCAAGTTAGTCTAGTTCAAGGAATCTATATTGATGATGATAAACAGACGATGTATATTACACAATATAATAGTGATCGAATTGTTGGATGGAAATTCGGTGAAGAAAGTGGTGAAATCGTTGCTGGTGGGAATGGACAAGGAAATGAAATAAATCAACTGAATAATCCATAAGATGTAACTGTTGATAAAAAAAATGATTTACTGATTATTTGTGATCAAGGAAACGAACGAGTAGTACAATGGTCTCGTCAAAAAAAAATAGACCCAAAAATAATTATCCGAAAAATTAAATGTAACGGTGTAACAATCGATAATAATGGAGATATTTATGTTTCAGAAGGAGAAACACATAGTGTTATACGATTAAAACAAGGAGAAACAAAGGCAACAACTGTAGCCGGTGGAAATGGGCATGGATATGAGCCAAATCAACTAAATGATCCGGCTCACATTTTTGTTGATGAACAATATTCAATTTATGTATCTGATTATAAATATGGTCGTGTGACAAAATGGATAAAAAATGCAAAAGAAGGAATTATTGTTACTAAACAAACAATTCCAGAAAATGGTGAATCATAGTTATCTAAGTCGTATGGAATGGCTGTCGATCATTTTGGTAATGTATATTTGTCAGAATATGACAATAATCAAATAGTGCGCTGGTCGGAAGGGTCTAAAGAAGGTGACATTGTTATAGATGGAGGAAATTACGAACGACCACCACAACTGTTCACTGGACCCACATCTATGTCATTAGATCGAGAAGGGAATTTATATGTCGTTGATCATTACGTGCATCAAATACTGAAGTTTGATGTTGATGTTAACTGAAATTATTATTTGTAATTAAATGAATTTTAATGAAACAATCTGCTGTTTTTATAAGTTTTCTTCATCTTATTTAAAAATAAATCATTTTATAAGTGAATTCTTCTGAATTATTTTTTTGTTAACATGTCTAGAATTTTCGAAGATATTTTCATCAATTATAACAATCGTATTTAACTATAATGATTTATGATGATATTTTATGAGCGCAGTTATTATGTCATATCGTATATAAAATATCTGCGGCTAAAATTAGACGATTGTAGCCGACTGTATTGCTATTCAGATTAGATCAACTCATAGTTCGTATGCTAAGTTATTTGAGCAAAGAAAATATTAGAAAACATTTACTAGTATTGTAAGAACTTTTGGAATAATTTATTTGATCTGTATTGAACTGTTTAAACGAATCTGTCAGATTAGATTAGAAAATATTTTCGATATTTGCTTCGATTCGAACTTAAACTGAATTTGTTAATTTCTGTTCATCATTTAAAAAATCATCATCACTATCGTTAATTGCTAAAGTCGTAGATGAACAAATCCAATTACACATAAATCTATAAATATTTATCAATTATTATTGTTTTTTCATGTCTTCTTTATCTGCAATAATGATGATATGAGCATTGTGATATTCTCAATCACATTTTCAAGATGAATTACATTTATTTCTTATGTATGTCTATATTGAAATTCAATTATTATTTTATTTCCTTATTAAAATAGTTTATATTGAATTGAAGAATAGATGAGGTTAAGATATAGATCGACTAATATCATATCTTCGTTTGAATATGAATCAGTCTGCCTATCCTATTCAAATCAGTTGTCATTCTTGTTAAGATTCATCGAGTTCACTTTGATTAAAAATGTTAATTGATATTAGAATTTCGAATAGTCAATCATTTGTAGAATTCATTAAATTCGATTTTATTTAGAATTTTAAACGCTAGTGTAGATGCAAGAATAAAAGCGAAAGAAATAATATTAACATAAGTACATCCCACTATTCACTTAAAGAATATGTTTTGTGCGTTTGTATTCGACTTTAAATGGTGGCATCGATGAAATATAATATCCAATTAAATATGCTCATGGATTATGTATTGATTCTGTACATTCAAATAAAAATGAAATAATTAAACGAGGAATAGATAATAATATTAAAATACATGGTGATATAACAAGATGTTTATTTTGTTGTATTTGAACATAAAGAAATTTTTTATGTGTTCACTTTTTCTTAGTTTGCAAATGTATACGAAATACTTGAATAGTAATACATATAGCAGATAACATATTAATTATAAATGAACTTATTTATAAAGTCTTTGATTATCTTGATGTTAAAGATATTTATTTTGGACATTTCTCTCTTAATAATCGATTTCGAAATTTATATCTGAATTATAATATTGGATATCAATTAAATCTTTCGAATACATCAAAAACAGATTTCTAATCTTATCATCATGATGTTCTTAAACCAAAAATCACGATCGAATCAAAATTCTTCATCTATCGAATCCATTTACAATTGATTTGATATTTTCTCCTGAACATCTTATTATTAATTTTATTCAAATTGAAAAATTAATATTAGACAATATTAGTTCGAAATATCTTATTAACACTCTTAAATATTTAATTCATTTACCACAATTATGTTCATTGAATCTTTCAATTATTGATTACATTGACAATCTTTCACCTATTTTTCTTCATATATTTTGTTTAACAAAATTAAAATCTTGTCAATTAACATATCGAGTCGAAGAAGACTTATGAATTGATTTTACTCAATTGGAACAAAGTTCAATTGAATATCCTATCATTAATAGTCATTTTCGATATGAATCTCTACAAGAATTCTTACTTTGTCTTCCAAAACTTCGTCATTTATCAATGAGTTCTCTTATTGGATCAGATCATCCATCAAAAATCGAGTTTGTTCCAGTTGAACTTAAAGATTTAAAATCAATTTCACTTGTACTTTATTCAATACATTTTTATCAATTCAAAAACTTAATTACAAATTTTTTTAAACACATTGAGAAATTAAGTATTGCAACATTTAATGATTCAACATATTTATCTGGAAAACGATGGCAACAAATCATTTCATCTTCATTACCTAATTTACGTATTTTTGATCTACAAAATAATTATAATTCAATGTGGAATAAATTCGTATATGCGTGGTTAAGTAGCGATTTTCAATCGAGCTTTTGGAAAGATAAACAATGGTTTTTTCAACATTGTTACGATGGTGAAATAAAATCAAATAATGGAATATTTTTCTCAACAAATCCATATCGGTAAATCTCACTTTTGTTCATTTTCTTACATTTTAAATCGAGAAGAAAAGATTATCAATTTTATTGGAATGGTGATCATAATCGTACTAATTCAAATATGAAACAAGATGATTTCAAAACAGTCCAGAATTTATTTATACATGATGCACCAAATGACAATGAACCTGTTGGTTATTTTCCAAATGTAAAAGAAATAACAATTTATCATTATGATTCGATTTTAACAAGTCTTAATCGAATTCTTCCTTTATATCAATTGAACAAAGTAAAATATGTCAATCTGTAATAAAGACAAATAAAATTGAAAATTTTCAAATAATTCATTGTTGTTCATTAAAAGAAATCTCGCTTTCATGAATATATTTCCAAAATTACAATCATTTGAAACTGGTATATTGAAAAAAGAGTTTATTTTCATAATACAATATTTATTATTAAATACGGCTTATTTGAGTTTTTTTATGTATTAAAGATTTATCAGAAACTTATTTTGATAAAATGAACGTTTTAATCGAATCAAATAATTTACTCAAAGATTATTCTATTAAACTTATTGATGATGATTTATACTTATGGTGGTAAAAAAAGATAGAAGATGTTTTATACATAGAATTAGAAAGCAATTTTTGAAATAAATAAAATTAAACTATAATTTTGTATTGAATGAAAAACAAAATCTCTATAGCGAACCATATGTGTGAAATTTTTCAAAATTTTTTCGCTTATAGTTTTCATTGAAATCCCTGAAACACATCTGGGAACCTTTCTTTGTTAGATCACCTAGTATATAAGGTATAATATACAAGGTGTAAATATAAAGGAAAAAAACTAGAGCAACTATTGTATTGCCTGACTTATGAATCACTCGGTATATCTTCCATAAAGTTTGTTTTTATGAATATAATCAATTTTTCTAGTGCCTATTGAAATATTCCACTATATTTTTATCTAAAATAAAGATAATAAAATACTGCTCTATTTTTTTGTCATGCTTTTTTTCTGCTTCATTACAAAACTTATAAATGTATTTCTTTCTTCGCATTATTTTAATTACTTGTTAAAATAATTTTCTTAATTTTCTATCCAGTGTTTTTATCTCTCTCTCTCTGAATTCTATTATTTATTCTATCTACGTTTTTCTAGAATATTCACTAATGCTCATTTAAATGTTTATTTTTTAAGAAGAAAAAAGTTGAGAGAGATGTTTTTTCTTCATTGATATTGTGTCTTAAAGTTTTCTACTATAAAACTTCGTATTGATAATAAGGTAAGTAGATATTATTATAACGGATAAGATATTTGTATCAAGAAATCGAATGAATATTAATTTTCTTGTATATTATCTGTCAATCATATCTAGCTTAAAGTAAACAAACACTGCTGTTTTCTTTTCTTTGATTTAATTCAGTTATGTAAATGGTAAGTGTTCTTCCTTTTCATAGAATTATTTGAACGTTGAACTAAAACAACTCGAGACTGATATATCCACACATGATTTTAATGATTTATGTTCTATTATACGTACTAGGATTGAAATGTAATTTCTTGTAAAAGATTTTTCTCTCAGTCAAATCGATGCATTTTCTTGGTAATTAGAAATATTCTTGAGAGTAAATGACGGATATTATTATTACAGAAGCATTCAAGCGAACTATTAAAATAAAACAATTTCCTTTCAAAATAAAATGAACAAATATAATATATTCAGAAGTAAGTCAATTCAATGATAATCATCACATTGTGCATGACTTGGTATGCATTAGAAAAGGACATTTGTTGTTGAAATAGAATAATGCAAAGTACGTTATTTCTCTTTATGAAAACTTTTTTTAATTAAATTTTTCAATAAAATCCAATGTAATCCAAAGTATTCTTTGTAAAAAGGAATCATAACTTTGATTGATAATGTTTGATAGTCTATTTCATTTTTGATAAACATCTCGCTTTCAAAGGTGGCTGTAGGTGTGGATATGGGTGAGAGATGATTATAACATCCACACCCATCTTTTCTTACATTTACATTCTATTTCGATTTTTAGATAATAGGCTTGTAGTAGCAATGAAAATCAGAAATTTTATTGCATGGTTCCATGATTATGTACACAATTACAATTTGTTCATACCAGACGAAGATCATTATGAGGACGATAATGATCAGTCAATAGATCCAACAATACATATCAAGCAACAAAAACATTCTACATGGCTCTACGTTTTCCTTTTCATTAGTGAGTCAATAAAAATAATTTCTTTCCTAACAGAAATAAAATAGAAGCCTATAGTATCGCCTGAATGATAGTGTAATACGTTTCATTTTGTCATCTTTTGTTTCTAGTCTCTCTTTACGTGTTGCTCTTCATCGCATTGTTAAGTCCAACAAGTCGTATCGTTACCATTTCAAATCTGACTCCATCACTCTTTGATCAACTACATCGTGAACATGGTGAAACACTCTCATGTCCATGTTCAACTATTACCATACCTTATAGGATCTTCGTTACCAATAATGTCTCATTTCATCCTGTATGTTCGAGCGTTTTTATTAGTAGAGAATGGATTGAAGGATTTTATCTACCAATAGCCAATGCATACTTAATAGACGATTTTCGAACAACGGCATTTTCTCAGGTGAGTTGAAAACATATCTTCTATTTTTATTTAAAGAAAAAAATTGATGAAAGCGAAGTATTACAATAAAATAAAGATCAGTGAAGACGAACACACGAAACCTCTGTTTTTGTAAAGTCGTATGATATTGTTCGCTGCACTAAGATACTAATTCGTTCTGTGAAGTAACTAAATTTAATTGAAAAATAATTGAGATCTTTTTTTGATTTTGATTTAAATAAAAAATTAATATCATCACACCCACACCTCGTTACATGAAATCTATTGTTCTGCTTCTAGTTTGAATTGTTAGCTGCTCTTTGTTCAATCTCGGAAGATGCAGTTTCACAAGCACTGTTAGATATTCAAAATAATCAGCTTGTTACAGCTGAACTTCTCGAAGAAGAAGATATTCAATCGCAAGTAAAAGCCATGGTTGAACTTTTTCAAGCAACCGCACATGTTCAAGTTAATTCATTTTTACAATTCGTTCAAGTGATGTATCGTTCCAATGCTCTTGTGTCTGCTTTTGGAACGAATGCAGTTGTTCAAATAGGCACTTATAAAGTATATATCACTTCTACGTATCAAGCGAACCCAAACATAAGTCTTGGTCTCGTATTAAACGCTTCAAGTTGCACTGAAAGGACCATGGTGGTTCCAGCTCTTTTCTATGCTCAACCATTCGATACTAGCGTATTTGATCATATAAATTGGCCTATTTACTACAGTGGTGGCAGTGCTTATACAAATATTTCTGGAAGCGTCGACGGATTCTTCGGAGGATGTTTTCCTCTGGATTCTATTCTTGAAAGTACACTTGATTGTTTGTACAACTTTCAATGTTTAGAAATTTTATTCGATTATTTTCCTGCTCTTAATCAAGTATAATACATTTAATTTGACATATCTCTAAGTAATTCTTTTCTTTTAGTCAAACTTCAAATTGATCGATCTTCCTCTATCTTCTGGCCGACGAAATATTTTTGTAAACGATCTTGTCTCTAAGTATCTATTTATTGAACAAAATTCAACCAAAATCAACTACGCAAACTATTTTAATCAATGTGCTCCTTTAGTGTGTACATATTCTACTACAGATTCAACCAATCTATCGTCTATCCTGCCTCTTTTAATCAGTCTCTATGGTGGTTTGACTGCTATTCTTCGGTTAATTGCACCTTTGTTGATCAAGATTATATGGAAAATTCGACATCGTTCGATAAAAATCACCATTAACTATGGTATGTTTTGTCGATAATAAAAATAATATTACTCTATAGAATAATTCATATTTTTGAAATTCTAGAGTATTGTTTATCATCTATGCGTGACGTAACTCGATGGATGAAACAGTTGAACATATTCAAATCAGCTGCGAATAGAACAGTGGACGATATCGAACAACAACGTATCAGCACATATTGTTTTCTCATTTTATTCGCAGGTACATATCTTCATTTAGAAGCTGTGTGGCCTACTTAGTGAAATGATGTTAGAATCAACGACGAAACAATGATGATTTTGATTATGAGATCGACATTGTGTAGTAACTAAGGATCAGATGATTTTAGGAAAATAATATATATATTCTGCAAGAGGAAATCTTGCCGCTCTTTTTCATAATAGAAATTTCCATTAGTAATCATCGATAAAAAAATAGTCCTGGGAATCAAAAAATTCAGCTTTTCCCTCCTTGCATTCTTGTAGTATTATCTAGATCTAAGTTTTTTTTCTTCATTCTAGGTTCTATTCTTTGTCTTGTTCTTTTTAATTCACTCAAAACTCAAACAATTACAATCATTGAAAAAAATCCACCATTAACTAAATACAAGCAGTTACAAATCCTATATCCAGATACACTTGCATGTCCTTGTTCAAATAGTACAATGCCGTATAAGACTTTTGTTTCATTGTCTCCCATTTTTCATCAAGTATGCTCAAGTGGTTTACTTAACGAATCATGGATTTCACTACTATCGAATAACGATCCGAATAATGTGTTGAGTGGTACATTTATTAGTAAAGCTGCTCAATACTTTAGATTACTGTCCAGTATTTGTCAACTAGCTGATTTGACAACTACCGAGAATATTGATGGTTTTTTTGCACGCACTTTTGTTACTTTCTATGTGCTTATCGAAACAGATTTTAATATTCAAGTTAATGCAACTGTCAAGCAACTGACCGAATCAATTGTAATCAGTTTTAATCTTTTCAATATTATGACACGTCTTTTCATTCAAGCTGATCAGCCAATAATAGTATCACCGAATTCTCAAGTAATACTAAATTATATAAATACTACAGCTGGTACTAATAATCCACAAGCACTAGAAGTATGTTTATATTCAAAGAATTCTTACATTTCTTTTTCTCCTTTAACTATGCACTAGGATAATAAAACGATGACTTTCAATAGACATATATATTCTGAAAAACTATCTCTTACCTTTTAACTGTCTGTAAAATTTACGGATCTTTCGTGACATACATCTTCTTATTTTTTTTTCTATATTCTCTATATATGTGTATGCTATGAAATGATATTTTCAATGGTCAAAGATGTATTGAAATTCCCTGTGAGAAGATTTAAGACAGTATCTATCAGATTTCAATCGAAATATTTTATATAGTTTTTCTTCTCTTGTATCAAAAAACGTGTCATTATAACTTATTATTCTTAGCAGAAATGTTTCAATTTCGTTTAATCACTATAATTTAAATTAAGAATAAGTTTAAGACTATATCTAGATCTTTTAAAGCTTAAGGTCTGAATCTTGTTTAATGAAATTTTAATTCTTTTCTGTCTATTTAGTTTAAATTTCGTTTCAATACTATTTTAAAGGACCTTTTAGATCCGAACGGCCCAATATGTCAATGTGTTGTTGATACCAATTGTCAAGGACCAATCTATTTCGCAGCTATGGAGGAAATTGGTATTATAAAATTACCTGGTGCTCATCCAGCATATGTCACTAGTAGTTATGTGGCACCTGGATTGATTGATGCATGTTATACTATTGATTTCCTTCTTCTATCAACTCTTCAATGTTTTTATACAGATTCTGACTGTATGAACCAACTGCTCTATTATATAAACAAAACATATCCGTCGTCTGTAAAAGATCCAAATGTGTATGCACATCCACTAATATATAATCAAACATCAACTCGTTTTCCTCCAAATACTTCAATTTCATCGATAGTTGAAGAAATGATGATTGAACAATGGAATACATCGTTGTCATTTTCTGATTATTATAGAGCGTGTGCACCAACTTATTGCACTTACACTCAAATAAAACATGCAGAAACTCTCAGCGAACTATTAGTGAAATTGATCTCAACGGTCGGTGGTCTTGTTATGGTATTACGACTAATTACATTCCAATTTGTTAAGATTATTTTCGGTTTATTACGAAAAAAACCGAAGAAACAACAAGGTAATTAATGATAACATATTGTGTGAGACTATTAATTCAATCGACTGATAAATCCTATAAACTATGATTTACAAATATTTTCTTCCCAGATTTCTTTAAGATCAAATGATATACGTATAATATTAGGTAACATAAAATATTGATCTTATTTTCATTATAGTTCGTCGAAAATTACTTGATCGAGTCAAGATGTTATTATCTAAACTAATAACATTCTTATACAAAATTGTTGAATCTAAATATGTTTCCGGCACGAATATTCGGAAGTAAGATCGACAGAATAACGGTGAAATATCTTGGTCAATGGTCAACTCGTCTTTATCTTATTCTTCTAAGCATCATTTTTGTCATTTTAACTCTTTATACAGTTATTCAACCACAAACATTGACCAAATCCTTTTCAACACCATCATTAAATTTCTATAAGAAACTAATAAATGATCATAGTGATGAACTTGAATGTCCATGTTCATTGATTTCATCTCCATATGATGAATATCTTCAAATTCAACCAGTATTTCATCAGGTCAGAAAGATTTTCTTTGATTTTGTTATAATATTTTTCTAATAGATTTGTACAAGTGATTTGATTTCAAATGAATGGAGATTAAATATTACAGCAAATATAATTTCTAATTTATCTGCTTATAATCAAAGAGATTATCGTTTATTTCTCTCTAGTCATTTACAATTTTTAAATGGATTATGTCAACTCTCCATGCAAACAGTAGATCAATCGATTCAACAATCTTTATCTTCATTAATGATTACTAAACAATTATTATCAGAAGAGAATTTTAATTTACAAATTAATTCAATGATTAATGAAGCAAAATCCAATGCTCCTTCAACACTTATTCGTCTACTTTCCTTACTTCAAGCGACAAATCATGGAAATGCAATTGTCTCATCGTATGGAACTAATTATCAATACATAGCTCCTATTTATAGTACATTTTCAACCATTTTATATACTCAAGCGATGATGTATGATGGTAACTGTTCATGTCAATTAAATTCTACTTGTATTATTAATGCTTCGTTTATCGAGATGGAATCGGTACAATCCTTAACAATTAAAGGTTTGAAAATGGGTTGTACACCGAGTGAATCATTACTTGCATCAACTCTTGAATGCTTCTATGATCAATCATGTATTAATCTTATTCAAATAATGGTAGGATACAGTGAAAATATTACTCCAATTCCTCTCAACATAACTAATAGTCGATTTCTAATGAATATGACTGTGATGAATCTTATCAACGATCTATTTGTTGAAAAATGGTCAGCAATAATGAATTATTCATCATATTTTTATAAATGTTCACCAATGATCTGTTCATATACATATATTCAACGACTGGATTCTTTCTATACACTGACTTATTTACTTGGTTTATATGGTGGTTTAACTATCGTTCTCAAATGGATCTCTCCGAAAGTTGTTTACCTTGTAAACAAAATTTACCAACGTCGAAAGAAAACAACCAGTTCAATCAAACCAATATCTACTATTGAGGGTAACGTCGAAATAATGGACGCAAACAATATCAACAATACCGCTGCTTTGTCACAATCGGTGAAAACAGTGCCAGCACATTCGTATGTCTTTTTTTTCTGTACTATATTAATACGTAATGTCTTATCTTTATAGGAAAAAATTATTTTCGGTATCATTACATTACTGGATCTTTGGTTTAATAGTGTTTATACTTGTGATAATAGGCATTCTTATTCCATTTATTTATGTTTTGCAAGAAAGAAAGAATCATTCTACATCAACAGGTACGATATCCTTAATGATTTTCATCATCGAGTAATAAGAGTCACAGATATAGTTAGAGACTAAGATATATGAGAGTATTTGCTCACTCTTCATTGAATTTGGTCTAACTAGTGAAATTTATTCTAGTATAAAACTTTTCTATGTCTAAATGGACGAATACTTAGAAAAATAAGCTGACGAGGGAAGATCTGATTTTCGTGCAAAGATTTATTTAGTTAGTATATTGTATGTTAAATCTATCTGATATTTAGGTTACACAGAAATGTATTTCTTGTTAATTTCAATTTTGTCTTTTGTAGAATAAGCAAAACCAATCGATCGAACAATTTCGAAAATATGAACATTTTATTCATTATATATATTTTTTTCAATTCTTTGGATGTATCACTAATACTTTATTCTTATACAATTATCATTTTATTGCATTATTTAATCTTTGAATATTGTTTTCTGCTTCATGTAATTTGTTCTCAATAAATGCTTCTTCACTATTTCAAACGTTATCTATTTAATATTTTAATATTTTCAAGGGAAAATACTAAAAATTATTATATTGATAGTCTTATCTAATTCGTACCATTGAATTATTGATTGACACCATTACTTGAGTGAAATATAACCTATTTAATAAATTATTTACGAACTGAAGGTGTCGGTGTGAATTTCGATATTATGTTCATCTCACACATATCCACATCTATTCAAGTATATATATAATTAAGTGGAAAAAAATATGTTTTAATAAATCAATATAATTACGGCGTTTGAAGAAAAAAATAGATTATTGAAAAATGTGATTAATATTTATGTTTAGTAAAATCATTAGTTAGAATCTTTTGTGATAGCCTTTAAATATCGTTCACCTGATCGTTGAACAATCTGTTGTGCTTTCTCGAGAATTACTCCATCTGTACCATAAATAATGAAAGCATCATACAGTCTATCGTAGTTAACAAGTTGCAAATTTTTCATGATTCGTCTGATTTTGTTTTCATTGAGCGGAATATAATTTAGAAAGCTGTGCATAAATGTAACTTGTTCTGGATCCATACAAACTTGAGGCTCATCACCACTTAGTAATACACCACGTTGAGATGCTCCGTCTGGCCAATACAATGCTTGTGAACCGTCGAAGTGTCCGCCTGTATGAATAAGTTTCAATTTGCCATCGAATAAATCTTTCGTCTCACCATTCCAAAAGTGAATGCATTTATCAGGTCGTACTACCCAGTTTTTCATGTCCTGATGAAGATAGATAGGCACGTCACCAAATGCATGACTCCAATCTATCATAGTGGTAAAAAAATGGGGATGAGAAATGGCAATTGCAGTAAGACCACCCAATCCATTAATAAAGTCGATAGTTTTTTGATCGAGATACGAGATGCAATCCCATAGAATATTTCCATGTGATGTTTGTACTAAAAATGCACGTTGACCAATTCCAAAGTGTGGCTCGGTACGAATTGAATATAACCCATCTTCTTCGCACTGAATTTTATTTTCATATTTGCCCAAAATTTCCTCTCGTGTCGTCCATTTCTGACCGTTCTTATCGACATAATGTCGTTCATCTTCACAAATCAAACAATGCGAGGGTGGAGATGATGCCAACGGATATTGAACACCACAGTTCACACATATATGACAGGACATTGATCTGCGCACTTCTATCTAAACACTCTTACGACAATTAAACGGAATGTAAGACTTGACGAATGAATTTTTGTTGTCTCACAAATGCGGCACATGGTAGATAAGATATGATAAACAACAACATTACACGTAGAGATATATTACCTAGCAGAAAAAAATATTTAACTAGGAATATCAGATAAATTAAATATATTTAAAAGATATTTTTATAGACAATACAAATAATTTGTAAATATACAATATGATCAAGGCAAAGCGTCACGTAAGAACATTAAGCATGCAAAGAAGTATTTTACATACAATACAACAAAATTTTGTTTAAAGTTAAGATCGAACTTTTTTAATTATTCCATAATAATTTTAATCTACTCATATAACATATACGTTATTGCACAACGCTGTGAAAATATTTCTGACTACTAATGATGAAATAACATATTCTTTAACACAACGTGTTTATATGTTATTGCATAACTATGCATTAATATTTCAAACATGACAAAATTACTTCGTCATTTAACGTATGTGTAAAAAATTGGTTACATTTCTTTTATATATCTGAATAAATCATTAAAAATCGATGGATTGGTTAAATAAATATGAAAGTTCTACTGAATTATATGACGATGCAGTAGAACAATGGCCAAACAATCAATATCCACCTGGAAAATGGATTTTAGGATCATTTGATGAAGAATCAATTATAGTTTATCAAGCATACAATCAAGATATAGCACAATTTGCTTGTGAAAATGGTCGTTTTATAGACTGTTCTGATTATGATCAAGATCGTATGACATGTATGATATGAAATCTAATAAGATTATTTAAAATAAAAATATTATCAATCTAGGGATAAAAACAAATTTTCTTTGGATGATGTATCGATCTCAATGGGCTACAAAATTCAATCAACAACATATTCTAGCTATATGGCTTCGACGTTCAGCATTTGATAGTTATTTAGCACAATCTATAGATACTTCACATACAGATCTTCCGAAAAATGATAAAAAAAATTCAAAAATAAAAACTCATGGAGGATCAATTCGTTTACAATGGGATCCTGATCATCGTCCAGATGGTCAACGAGTTACGGGTCGTCGAGCTATTCAATTAGGTCTTAAAAAAATAAAAAGTTTTCTTGATGGTCGTGATATTATACGTATTATTGATATAACCTCATTTGTTCAAACTCAATATAATAATGCTATTGTACCAAAAGAAAAACTCAATCAACTTCGTATTCCTATTGAGCGTATCTATCAACCTCAAGACAAACAAACTCGACAACATATACAACTAGATTCATAAATAGTAATACATATGTAGAATAAAAATAAATAAGAAATTAATGAAAATTTTTATTAATTAAAAGATTTTTTTAATCTTATTGTCTTCATCTTTAGTGTATGTAAATACGCGTGCATCTTGTGAAATAGATCGTTGATTTATGAAGGTTTTAAACATACGAGAAAATGAGACTAATATTGGTTCATTATTAATTCGAACAAGATCAGGATATACTTTTCGAAATTGTTCAGTTGCTTCTTCTAAACGAAATAAAAAAAAGATTAGAAATAAAAATAAATTTTCTATCATACCTAAATGATAATGTGGTACTTTTGTAAATAGATGATGAATTTGATGTGTACCAATTGAATGAATTATTGAATGAACATGACCATAATGACGATCAACTGTTGATAATTGTCCTTTAACATTATTCCATTCCGAATCTCCATACCAAGGTACATCACTATATATATAGAAATAAATAAATAAGATATTAGATATTAAATATATTACATTTCTGTATGATGTAACATAGTTATAATAACTATATAACATGCAAAAATAAATACTGGAATGAGATGATAAGTAATTAAACTGATGAAACCAACTGAAATCGCATAAATATACATCAGATAACACTGAAATATAAAAATAAAATCATTTTATTACTGAATTATTAAAAAAATATATAGTTATATACCATTCCTAAATAAGTGGCAAGTGAAAGAGAAGCACCAATGAAATTTTTATTATAAAATAATGGTTCGAACTAAAATTAACAAAAACAAAAATATTCATAATTTATTTAATAAAATAAAATTTATTTACTGGATTAAAATGATTTATTCCTCTTGGTCTATAACCAAACATTAAATAATAAAACCAGGAAATACCAGGAAACCAATACAAAAGATAATTTTGAAATGATGGTTCATCTACTATACCACGTTGTGGACAGAAAACTGCATCTTTATCAATATTATTTGTATTTTTATGATGATGATTATGTGTAAGCTAAAGTAATAGAAAAAATTGCATTCATTTTATTTAAAAATTAAAATATACTACCTTCCATGCATAATAAGGTACTAATATCCATGTATGTAATATTGTACCAACAGTATCGTTCAATAATGGATAAGAACTAAAACTTGAATGTCCACAATCATGTCCAAGTATAAAAAATGCTGTATAAAGAGTTCCTACAACAAAAATAATAAAATAGTTAAAAGTTTTTTTTTTAAATAAACTTCAACAAACCTTGTATATACCAATAAATAGGAAAAAATAAATAACCATATTTAAATAATTTTTCTATTTGAAACATAATAAAGAATGTTAGAATGACATAAATAATATCTTTAATAACATAGCTCATTGATTGTCGAACAGTGGAACGAAAACAATGCGATGGAAGTTTTGTCTTTATTTCGGATAGTGTTGGTAATTGATATTGTACTGGTAATGGTGTTGTGTCTTGTTGCTGAGCATAATCACCTTCAATAGGTGACTGATCGTCTTCTTCTCCCATTTATTGATAAAGGAACTAAATAAATTAGAATACAATATAGATATCTACATATGTTAGAGGCTTAAAAGAAAATGTCTTTAAAGCGAGTATGAAGAATGAGAGTGAAGTATACATTTAATATTCAATAGTCCTTGAAAAGGATACTATAGTATGGTGGAGGATAACATTCGTGAGTGTCGTGTCACAATATTTCTCCTCTTCTTATTATTTCTTCTCATTTTATATATTGCTCGTACGATTTTGTCTCTATTTTTTATATCGTTTGTTACTTTATCACGACGTTTATTCTCTTCTTATTATTTCTTACCATTTTTTCTTTATTTTTGCATAGTTTGTTATTTTATTATAATTTTTATCCTCTTCGTATTATTTCTCCTCATTTCACATATTGTTCTTACCATTTTTTCTTTATTTTTACATAGTTTGTTACTTTTTGTCATGATTTTTATCCTCTTCGTATTATTTCTCCTCATTTCACATATTGCTCTTACCATTTTGCCTTAATTTTTGCATCGCTTGCTATTTTCTCTCCACCTTATTTCGTTCTTATCGTCGTTTTATTTCATATTTTTTTTTTCATTCTCTATAACAAACGAGTATATAACCATGCTTTGTAAAAGAACGAAATGACTCAAGATAAGGAGAAATAGAATAAAGTGCATTATCATTTGCACTAACACTATTTCTATCAGAAATCATCATAAGGGGTGCAAAAGCATCGCTGATCAATGTGTCACAATGTTGTTCAGTGCAAAATCTCTTAAGAGTGAAACTCTTAAGAACGTCAGAAACTGATGCAGCTGTATTCATAATGAGATTGTTGTATAGTAATGCTAAATATCATTAATAGTTCTTACATTACATCCAAACCTCACAGAATATTATTTCATGGCCTTTGATCATACACTGTTATCTACCTTTTAGATATTTTGCATCGTTTTATTGTCTATTGCACCGCATTCACAAAAAGAGTCCATAGGTCATTATTATTATTTTTTTTCTCGTGCTTTGATGATGAAAATACTTTTCGAACGCAAAAAGTGCGTTTTAGCTGAAACGATATATGAAAGGTGCAATTTATCATTAAAAGTGTTAAAAAACAACACGTTTAGATAACAGACATTAGAAAAACAAGGAGTCTCAACTATTTGATAGTAAATGTGATAGGCTTTTCCATTCGTGATGAATATGCACGAAATAAATCATACTGTGATTACAAATTCTCATTACCAACCATTCATACTTTTAATACTCGTTCCGATGACACTCTTGAGGATGTGAGTGTGAATATGGGTATCAGAAGAGTGCAACACCCACACCTACACCCTCAAAGCAAAGGTCTTGCATTAAACTGTTGCATGAAAATAAAGAGAAGCATCAACAATGAGATCCAGATTTGAATCATAGTCTTGATAGTACAAGGAAATGTTTTTTTCACACTCTCTAACGTGTAAAATCTAATATGTAGATATATAATTTATAATACAAATTATAACAACAAAGACTTTCTATAGTTATTTAAAAGGTTTTAATGCTTGTGGAGCAACGAAATTATTAAAGTGTCGTCTTCTCATTATGAGCTTCATTTTTGTCCAAATCTCTTTCGATGATCCAAAGCATATGAATGGCATTAACAGAACAATGAAATAACATGAGAAAAATACGAATGATTCAAATTGACCAGTTGCACCATATGGCAAACCACCTTTCTGAGCGAGCAGTATACCCACTGTAGGTATTTCAGGAATAAGAAACAATAATGAACATGACGCTAATTGTATAATCATTTTTTTATATTTCTGCCATTGTATTTCTTGATGTAAACGTTGTTTCTGCTTGAATACACGAATAAACAATAATATATTAACAATCAAAATTAGAAGACACAGTAGAGTGATGTTGAATAATAAATCATATAGACTGAGAGCATAGGATTGAATATAACATGGACCTATACACCAAGCTGAACTGTAATTAAATGTAGGTTGACAAACTGGAAAAAAAATACAAGTTGCATAAAAAATACAAGCATATAGAGCAATTGTTGTCAACGGAATATAATGAATTAAAATACGTTTCATCTTGGTATTTAACCACTGATAATGAAATATCAAATGTGTCTTTCAATTGAAGCCCAAGCCATTAGCATACCTATTGTATATAAGTTACCATAAGTAGCATACCACCATAGATAACAGTTAATTGGTATTTGAGGCCATACATAGTTAAGACGAAGAAAAGTAAGATAATTTGGAATATCTATAATTTCTGAGAGAAGTACATTAATCAAAATAAGAATAAATACATGATTATTTAATGTATTTCGTAGAGTTCGATCGAAACATAAATGATAAAGTAGAAAAAGACAACAGATAATTGATGGAATTTCAAAGATAAGTAAAACCCAAAAACGAGCAGTTGCTGATAAAGCTGTTTCTAATATAGTTCCAGAAGAAGTATCATTATTTTCACCATCTTTAATAGATGTATTATTCAAGATAATGTGTACCATAATAATTATAAAAGATAATTACTGATTGTTTATGAAGTGTACGAGAAAAAAGTTTTTTAATTTCTCTAGATTTACATAATCAAATATTTACTTTGTTGTTGATAAAAAAAAAGAATATCTCTTCTTTTTTTCTCTCTCTGTCTAGCAAGTACTTATTTGAGCAGGAAAAATTATTTTATAAAACGAGATGAAAGAGTTTTATGAAAAATTCTCAAAATAAATATTTTAATAATTGTTTGATCTTTATAAATAAAACAAAATTGTAATTATGATAATGAATTCATTCTAGCATATTATACGTTGAAAAAATATCAGAAATACACGAAGATCAATGTAAAACTAGTAGCGTCTAAATTTTAATACGATAGAATAAATCTTATTTTTATGCCTCCTCATAATAACAAGAATACTTGATTTTCAGGTAGCATTTAACCATTTCTCGACTAATAAAATTTGAATAAAAATCTATTTGTTATGATTACATGGATTCTATAGAAGTTTCTATCTTCGATTAATTTTTGTAATAATCTCTTTATATTACGTGTCATCAGCATGTATATTGAAATAATAGCATAATATAAACATAATCACATTTTACTTTTACTTTTGTCGCATATATCTATATGATTAAAACTGTTCTGAGGAATTATCTCGACCATGAAGGTAAGGATTAAAGAAATAGATAGAGACTTGAATTATGTATGATATTTTACTATTCGTACGACTCTTATTTATTTCAAAAAGAAAAAAAGTACAATCTTTTTATGTTTTATTTGTATTCAACACCCGTTGTACCCAATGTAACATTCGTTCTATATGTGAAATTGTTTGTTCTATATTGTTCAAGGAATGTCCTCCATCAAACCATTCAATTTCACAGTTCTTATTGTACTGATGCATTTTAGCTTCATAATTTTTCATTGGACGTATTGGACAACGTGTATCATTACAAGCTTGAATAATCAGTACTGGTGCAATGATTTGTTCAACATAGGTAATAGGTGATGCCGTTATGTATAGTTCTGGTTTCTCTTCAGGTGTTCCACCAAATAATGTTTTTTGATATCCACGAAGTCTTTCAGCAGAATCTTCATATTGTATAGTCCAATCAACAACTGCAATACCAGCCATACCACCAGCCCAAAGATTTGGATGTTTACCCAATGCGAGCAGTGTAAGATAACCACCATAAGACCAACCAGTAAGAAAAATAACATTTGCTTGAGCAATTCCCTGTTCAATAAGCCATGTACGAGCAGCTACTACATCTTCTATTTCCCAATATCCAATGTTAGAATAGATCTTGTGTTGAAATGTACGACCGAATGTAATCGAACCACGATAATTAATTGAAAGATGTGCAAAACCATGATCAACCCATACTTCAGTTTGTGGACCAAATCTGTTAGGTGAAACATCTTCAGGACCACCGTGCATATCAAGTATAGTAGGCAATGGTCCACTATTATCATTGGTGACTGGTAATGTAAGCCAACCTTGAATAAGTTGTCCATCGGAAGATGGAAATGTGACTGAACGACGCAAATGACTTGGCGGAATTTGATCGTTTATTAATGATTTAAGCATAATTTGTTCAAATGCTCCAGTTTTACCATTTAATGAAATTGTCTGTAGCGGCATATTTGATGTTTCCCATTGGACAATGATTGATCCATTAGGACTAAATTGAGCATCAAATATTACACCTGACGGTTGTTCTATGAGTTTGTTCAAGATGCCATCATCAATACAATAGGAATAAACTTGAAATGTTGCATTATGAATATGTAACAAAAGAATAAGCTTGCCATCACTTGACCAGTCTAGTGGTGTAACATCACCTTCGCTACCTAACTGTTCAGATGCAAAATCAATTCGTTCATTTGTGCTTACATTCCAGATAAACGGCCGATAAATTCCACTACGATTACTTTTTGCTAAAAGACGTGTATCATTGGATAATGATGCGAATTGTTTTGGTACAATATTCACATCCATACCATCATCAAGTGTCCCAATATGTTTTTTAGGATTTCTAGTATCAAATACAACTAAATTGCTTCCAGCACCTTTTTCAGTATCTCTTGTTTCTATGACAACTAGTTGACCGTCATAAGATATGGCAAAATTTTCTGTAAAATTTGATGTTTGATAGATGAGATTAGGTGGACCAAATGTTGTAGATATCATAGAGCGTGTAAATAATTGAAAACCATTTTCTTTATCAGAAATTAAATACGCCAATGTTCTACTAATATAATCTGTTTTCATCGTTATGATTGAGTAAGGTTTCATATCAGGAGTTATATCAATCTGTTCATCTGTTTCAGTATTAATACAAATTAAATGACCAATTTCATCACCTTGAGTATCATTCAGATAATAAATTGATTGTCCATCACTGGAGATCATACCCTTTTCTTTTCCAGTCGTATGTTGAGTTAATTGACGTAGTTCACCATTTGAAACGTTCCATGAATATAATTGATATATACCTGATTTATTGCTTACAACTAAACCACGTTCGTAATTACATCGTGCAAGATATCCTCGACTTAGAGACAATCGAAAGCGTTGCTTCCATGGAGCATTCTCATCAGTTATAGGTGCAATATTCATGTCTATCAGCGTATAATGGATTACAAAATATAAATAAGAATGAAGGACTAATCTTATTCTTTTCTTTTTTGCACAATGAAAACAAACGAAGAATGTCGTTATCAATCACGTGCGAAAACGTTGCATCGAATATATATTTGTGATAAAATACTTAAACATACAGAGAACGGTATTTGTATGTATGAGTAATAGAGGTTTGCATCTCTTTTTCTATTTGTCGAAATGAATATTTTATTCAAATTCTATTTCAAAATAAATATTTAAAAACTATAGATAGTGACAATTTCTACTATTAAACGAATTTCTAAGATGATACAATTCTATTGATTTATAGTTCATTCTTGTTAGTAGGCGCCATCTATTATTATTGTATCAGAGGAAAGATGTGACTAAAAATACTGAGTATATGATATTCACATTCAGATCGATTTATTAATATAATTAATAATTCAATTTTTTTATTTGAGTAAGCTTTTCTTTCATGTATGATTAAATATATGAGATTATATGTTTCAATTACAATATTAAATAGAATGTCTTCTCATAGAAAAAAAAGGCTTGAAGTCAACATTTAGAAATTGTTATAAGTAGGGTTATATGATTATTTATGGATTAGCAAGTGATGTAACCTCGGATGTAGTAAGTTCTCTTGCGTAAACATAAAATTCATCAATAGATCCGTAAAATTGACCCATTTGAATTGTAGCTGTGTTGCACGTACTTGTTCCAAGTAATGAATTACCAAGCGTGATCGTCATTGGAATAGAACCAGCAGCAAATGTATACGCACCAACCGAGCTCCATAGAGTACCATTTATATATAATTTTAGACCACTGGTCGGTGAATAGGTCGTCACAACATGAGTCCATATATTAAGTGGAGCCTGAGGTCCGGTAAGTGGAACATTGCTACTATTCCAACTATCGATGGCGATTTGTCCGGATGAAGTGAGACCCATCATTGGTAAACACCATCCGCCAATCTGCGCTCCATCAGTTCGACTACTTAAATGTATAATTGTTCCACCAGCAAGACTGGTAGGTTTAATCCAAACAGCGAATGAATAGGGCCAACCATTTATACCTAAACGTGCTAGTCCAGTTACTTGAACATAGGATGATGAACCTGAAAGTGATATGCTTTGATTTATCCGACCTGCTGATGTATACGAATAATTCGTTCCTGTTCCATTAATTTTCAGAGGACCAGAATCAAGAAGTGTATCTTCATTAAAAGAAAGATAGACAACCAAGGTAGCATCACTTAAAATTTCTGTTGCATTTTTCGCCCAATTATAATAAGCCATTGAATCGAGACACCCATCAAATTGATCATTCGATGCATTTAAGCCGATAGTGCCAATAGTCACTGGTCTAAAAATAAAATCAATAAAATGAACAATGAAAAAAGAAAGAATTGATAATTCGAGACATTTATTTCTGTGTATTAAACTGTTTAAGCTAATGATCATCAACTAACCCTGCCATGCCTTGATATGGCCCTGATAAACTACGTGATGTATCCAAATATCCGTTGACATAGACATACTGTGTGTTAATCGAATAATCATAAACATAAGCCTAGAATTAATATAAAACTAGAAAATTCTTCTTCAACGACTTTTTTCTTCGATACATACCAGATGATACCATTGTTTAGTATTTAATATCTAAATGAAATCGAAAAATATTGGTTATTCATCTCGTATATTTATACAATTTACTTACTTGAGTTCCTGGATCATCGTCAAGAAAGAAACCAAGATATATGCGTTGATTGCGAATGATAAAGTGTAGTGTGCTGTCCTGTGTGCCTTGATCCAGCTGACCAAATATCGAATTATCGGTATATGGATTGCTATTACATAATGTTTGTGCATAAATCCACACTTCGAGTGTTAACGATGTATAGGACATGTTGAAAAATGGTGGCTTATTCATCACTACTGATTGATTCATCGATCGATTCAACCAAAGACAAGAACCAGCACCATTATAACCAGGTGAAAGATAAGTTATTCCATTGCGACCAATTCCATTAAAATTATTGTACAAATCTTGTAATGTACCATCGAAAGCCCAAAAAGCTTCGAGAGCTAAAAAACAAATAACATTCGAGCAAAATACGATGAATGAAATAATAATATAGGATACAAACGTGTTTGACATATTGAACCTCCCCATGCCGTACTACCTATATTTCAAAAGTTACATAGATGAACGATTTTATACTTGTGATCACTCACATGTGCATACGTTGGGAGCTGTACAGTTGCCACCGTTCAGACATGAAGGATTGCAAACAGCTATTTATTAAAATATGATAAAGTAAGATTTGAATATTTTCATACTAAAACTAGATGTTAGTTTCTTAGAAAAATATTTTTAGATTAGATTTGACTATTTCTGACATTGACATATATATATCTTTCTCTAATCTAAATGAAACAGACGTGCGGTAGTTGTTGTTGTCACCGTTGTAGTAGTCGAAGCAGTCGTCGTAGTCACTAAAAAATTAAAAATATAATCATTTTAATGCATACATGAGTTTACCGGTTGTTGGAGACGTAGTTGAAGCAGATCCTGTCGAAGAAAAACGAGTTTTGGTTTATTTCTATTCGAAATGCCCAAGTTTTGCTCACCTGAATGTTTCCAAAGGACAGTAACAGTAGTCAATGCAATTCCTGCAGCTAATATACCAAGAAATAATCCAACAGCAAATATTTTTCTATCAGAACCAGTTGATCGATTAGTCGTCGATTCATCTGCAGGTGTACGACTAAAAAAGGTATAGAAATCAAAGTAGAGTTCTCTAAATATCTGCTAATTAACTACGCACTTTGTTGATCCATTGCAAATACTGTTTGAAGAAATAATCGTATTACGACTCGAATTTCGGTCATTACCGTTTAGTGTAGATAATGCAAGAGCATTATACTCAAAGTTTTGATCATTACTTTTGTTACTTTGTCGTTGCAAACCATACATGTATTGTAATACGCTCATTCTTCTTTTTTCCGATTTATTTTATCAATGAAATGTTTTCGTTTCAATCTCGTGCTATAATGTACTTTTCATTTCGTATTAGTATGAAAAAAAACAACTAGATGAAAGCCACTCAAGTGCACATATTCTATATTGAATTTCTTCATTAGGTATGAGAGTGACTACATGGAAGCAAAAGTACATTTGTTTTCTTTGTCAAGTGCACGATGTGAATGTAAAGATGAAATAAAATCATTTTTTTCTTATATCTTGAAGGTAATGATGGCGCCTGAATATTTCATCATAGGAGATTCATCTTCAACCTGATCCTGAGAATTGATTGCAACAAGCTTTAATAGAAAAGAAATAAAAAAAAAACTTCTTTTTTTTATTAATATTCTTCAAACAATAAATTTCAGTTGCATTATTAATTAGATTTAATTCAAATTCAAATTTTATTTTTATTTTAATATAACGTACTGGTAGATGTGCGTGAAATACGAAATAAATAATACCTATTCACATACGAGAACTACAAAGATTAATAATATTTTTTCTGAAGTAAGAACATTTGAAAAAAGATGTTTCAATCAAAGTGTTAGTAGCAAGAGAATTGTAGAGTGAAAATTTAGACAATATGGCTTAGAAACAAATCTTTGATACAAGCACGTGAGACACTGGGAATCTTGATTTCAATGATCTATGATAACGTTTTGATTTCGACAAGATAGCCTTAAATACAAAATAATTTTTTTCAAGATATTTACGAGAACACAATGAAAGTAGATATGGTTACACTACTAAAGATACGAATATAAAATATAGGACACATTTTGTTTGTACTGCTTCCATCCATTTCTATATTTTGCATTACAATGTGCGTCCAAAGCAGGAACATTTGAAAAAGAAATAGTACTTCTGTCAAGGGTGAGTGTGGGTGTGAGAAAGAGAATGCTATGCATTCATTCGTTAATCTTCTTTTCTTTACAAGTAGTTACATGCAAACTATCGATGTTATATGATTAAAATAATTTCAAACTCTAAAAAGAGATATTAGTATGGCTATGCATCAGTATATTTTATAGATAAGAGTGGAAAAGACATTAAAATAGAAATCATGATAATCGAAATGTAGCAGCAATCATCAAATGATCCGATGGATGGGTTTCGTCAGGATAAGATTCTCCACTTGGGTGACTAGGTAATTCCATTACTTTTTCAACAGTAAGTTGCCCAGTAAAAAAGATATAGTCTAGAGTTTCCCAGAAGCTCGGTGAATCCGCTGTGGTAGCAAAATTTGTATAAACTGGTTCCGATTGATTTTTCTCTCGATAAGCACTTTTCAGTACTTGATCGGTATTGGGCCAGTATGAAACATTGTAGATTTTTGATTGAGGAAAATGAACGTCAAGATAACCTTTCTCGGTTAGAGCTCGATAACATGTATCACTTGGTAATATATTGAAATCACCTGTTAAAATAAAATCATTTCCAGCGGCTAATTGAAACATAAGATCTTTTACAATTAATGCATGTATAGACATCACACTAGGTTCTTTATAGTAGCAAGGCATATGATATGTACCCACACCCAATGATTTACCATCGATGACGACTTGTAAATAGATGAGAGTATTGGCCCTATTCATAGACGTTTCCCAAGGATCGGATGTTGTTTCCATGGATTCACCTGAACCGTCTTGGTTTTGATTCCATGTATTTTCACGACTTTTACAAATCGAGCGTATATGATTACCGATTTTATTATAAGAAATGGTATTAAGTTGCATGGAAACAGGAATTGCTATTCCAACACCCATAAAATCATCCCAATGTCCACCATATAGATTATGAAACAGAGTATAATTTAATCGACGAAAAAATAACTCTAGTTTGGGTAACATAGTAAGAGATAGTTCTTGAAAACAAAGAATCGTATTTTCATTATGATTAATTTCCTGTTCTAATTCAGTTTGAATTAAATTCCATCGATAATCAGTTTTAAGAAACTGAGGCTGACATTTTACGTAATATTCTGGATCATCAGCATAGATGGGCACCAACAAATTATATGTCACAACACGAACAGTCATAATAATGTTATAAAATCAGGCTTTTTTTGGCAAAAATCAGTATGAAAAAGTGGTAAAGAAACGTGCACATTATATACACATTCAAAGAACAGAATGTGTACACAGGTAGATGACAAAAAGTAATGGATGGAATTTTCATGGAGAGAAAAAATTGCACAAGCAAGAACATGACAAAATAAAATATTTATACAATGACGTGATTCATTGAATTTTTTTGATGCTCAGTAAAAAGTCAGCGATAGAAATTTCTTCGAATGTATAACATATCATACGATGTCATCTATACGAAGTTCTGCATACGATTTTCAAAAGAGAGAACATTGCAAGGGTCATACTATATTATGCCTATTTAAAAAGGCTAGTATTTAAATGAGCACTAATAGTGACTGAATGAGCAATAATTAAAATACGAATTAGCAATAATCTTTGAGCAATAAAAAAATCTTTTTTGAGCAGTTTTAAATTATGAAATGGTTAATAATTAATCCAGTAAATAGCAATATTAATTTCATATTTTGGTAGTAAGAAAAAGAAAAACTCCAGTTTTTATTTCTACAATTGATCATAAAAAAAAGGAAAATGAGCAATAAATGTTCTATTATAGCAATAAAGCTTCTTTTGCTTTACATGGTCAGCCTCTTGAAGGTGTGGGCGTTAGTATGGATTATGATGAAGTGAACATATACACGGACCCACACCCACACCCACCCTCGAGAAAAGCTGATTTGTTGATTAACTTGCTATAGACTTCACCTCTTTTGAGTTCAGTTCGGTTCAGTTTGGACCTTTTAAAAAACTAAATCGGTACGGTTTGCTTCGGTTTGACAATTTTTCGGCAGAATTCGGTTCGATTCCAAAAAATCACGAACCGATTCCACCTCTGATATATATACATAAACAGGATAGAAAATTCAAACACAGTGAGGGAAAAATAAGGAGAAAGGAAAGTACTTGAACGAGTTAACGTTTGGAAAATACTTCTGATAAAAAGGAAAAAACAATATATATGTGACGATCTTGGATAAGCCATCTATACGATACAATCAAAAGAAGGAAAAGAAAATATCCAACACAGATGAATGGTACTGTAAACTCCAGTCTATAATAAAAGACCACTGGGTCTTCTGTTATATTTCTCAAACTAAGCCTAAATTTACTGAAATCGTCATCAAAATACACATAATTTGTATAGAAATTTTTTCCAGAAGGGTCTTCTATTATTGGAGGTTCCTCTATTGAGAGGGGGTCTTCTGTTATAGAGGGGATTTAACAGCTGAATTTATATTGCTCCTTACACATACGGTTTATTGCTCGTTTAGTATAATTATTGCTCATTTAATATGATTATTGCTCATTCAGCATATTTATTGCTCATTCAGCATATTTATTGCTCATTCAGTATTATTATCGCTGATTCAATTTTATTATTGCCAAATTTCGTTATTGCTCATTTCGATTTTATTATTGCTCATTTAAAAAGATGCAATGAAAAAAAACGCATAGCATGCACAATATAAATGATTTTGAGGGTGTGAAAATATAGATATAATATAATCATTCCATACCCTAGCTCTCACTCTCACCAATACCCTCAACACTAGTGATCTTCATAAGAGTCCGAAACTCAATTCGAACTCCGACTGCAACGTAGTCGAAGTCACGAAACGAAAATATTTCAAAGTTGGAGTTGAAATCGAAGTAGAAATTTGTTTTTCAGAAGTCGGATTCGGGTTTCGAAATGAAAAAGTGTGACTCCGCTGATCACTACTCAACACTAGAAAAAACACAAAACAAAACGGTAAAAACCAACCGTTATTTTTGTTGTATTTTGTGTTTTTACTCTGTTCTACACTACCGAGTTTTTATGTTTCACTTGATATTACCACATTGCTGTGTCAATATTTTGCTTCTCCATTCTCTGCATGGAGATGCCGCCTTCCAAGAGAATATTTATTACGTTAATATACTGCGTCTTTCGCGGAAAATTCCAACTTCTTTTCTAACTTATATAAGACATTGTGCAGAATAAGTTGATTTACTTCAGATTTTGATTCAGTGAATCGTCAGTCACTTCTCAAATAAGGTATGTACATAGCTTTTTAGATTAAAAAGAAGTAACTCTTTTGTCATTAAAAATTTCTCTTCAATATTATGCATCTTTTTCGATTGAAATATATTCTAATTACTGAAGTTCCATGCAAACCATTGACTCGGTTTCTTTGCATACGAGAGATGACGTAACGTAGCCAAAAGACCTGCCGATATGAGAGAAAAAATCCGATGGAGGCTGTAATGCTTATCCAACTTACGGGTATGGATGGGTATCAATATGAGTGTATTTAAATGTGAATATAGATTTATTGTAACGAAGGACTCTATTCCGGACTCATTCATTGCTATATTTTGAACAAAAAAAACAAGTCTATGGAATTTAAATGTTTGTTGTTATTATTTACTAGGGTTTGTGTAATAAACATCAGATTTACGAATCAATTGTACAACTATGACCGATATATTAGTTTACGTACCCGATCTGCCCGTGGACGTTAGTGAGGATGAGCTTGAGGCAGCGATCGAGACTCGTCTAAAGATCGGCCAACGTATAGAAGTGGACAGTGTTAAATGCTATTCTAAACTGGGTATTGCTGTCATTAAAATGACGAAAGAAGATGATAAACATCATCTTGTTTCGGATGTTGAATCAATTGTTCTTAACAAGGATCTCGGGATAAATATATCATTTATTGATAAACTTGAACTTGGATCTTACATTGTAATTGATCAAAAACTGAAAAATATTCCTTCAGCCGACGAACTTGCTCAACATTATTCGCATGCATATAAAACATCGAAAGTTCGTACTTGCGAGACGGTATCCGTTCAATTTCCTAACGTTTTTCGCATTTCTTTCAAAAGACTTGATGAACTGATTCAAGCAGCGAATGCACCTAATTTTAAAATTGATACTGTGTTTGCTACTGTTTATCCGCGTGCTGAGCTTAACTTTCTTGAAGATCTACCACCACATACTGATGAAAAACAAATTACAGCAGCTATTGCAGCTCAAATTGCTGAATCTCAACTCTCAACAACATCATTCTATGTTCAACATAATAGACAAACTGGTAATGCAATTATAATAGCATCTAAATCTATGAAAAAATGGGCAATGGAAGGATTTCTAACCATCGATGGACGCAATATATCAAAAAAGCATAAGCTTCCATATAGAGTGCTCGTTTCACCCGTACCTCATGGTTTTGATTTAGACAAAATACTTCGTAACAAATTGTTTGGTAATCGAGTTGCTTCACATAAACTTATCGATGACAAACTCATTATAGAACTCAATGATTTGAATCATTATAATGATTGTGTAGAAATCGGAGGATTAGGGATTGATGGCAAAGCTTTGATAATTAAACCGCATACTGTTGTCAGTGATCCAGACTCATGTGAGCTCGATGCTTTAAATTGGTATGAAACAGCTATGTTAGATATCAAACCAGATATAACAACAATTATCACTGATCATCAACATCCAATATTCCGATTCAAATGGAATGCAGCAAATTTTGTTGAACAGATGAAAAAGGCAGAAACATCAGCTATATTTGTGAAAGGTTATGATCTTACTCGACATTTACTACGAGTAACAGTAATGTTGAATACTATTGGAGCTCTTAGAAAAATGAAATATATTGTGGATGATAAAGAAATCAAATTAAAATTTGAACGAACGAAAACAATTGGTTATAATCATCAATCAAAATTATTTATGGGAAAAAAAGTTTCTGAGTCAGATTTGAAAACACCGTACCTATCAACAACTGTCAAAGTCATTAATCAAGATTGCCTTGTTCTGTGTGAACAATTGGTTGCTGAAGGACGTCGACCATTGGTGCTTAACATGGCCAATGCAGCCAGTCCCGGAGGTGGCTATCGAAAAGGTGATGGCGCACAAGAAGAAAATATTTTTCGTCGTTCAGATTATTATCATAGTCTCGATGGTGACCTAGCTGATAAAAATCGATCGGAACGACTTTACTGTACACCGAAGGGTGAGCAAAAACCGCTGGTAGGCTTCGCTAATTATTATCCAATGGATGAATTTGGAGCAATCTATACATCTGGTATTACTGTATTTCGTGGCACTGAGCAAGATGGTTATCCTTATAAAAAAGAACCTCTCTACAATATGTGTGCTATTGCTATGGCAGCTTATCGAGATCCTCCACTAACTTCTAATAACACATTACAAAATCGAACAGCTATGAATACACATAGAAAGATTGAAAATATCTTCGCTATAGGATATCATCAGAAGCATGATTGTTTGGTTTTATCAGCTATTGGTTGTGGTGCTTTCAAAAATCCACCTGAACATGTCGCTTTACTTTTCAAATCTGTTATTTTACAATATGCTGGTTATTTTGATACTATTTATTTTGCTATTATTGATGATCATAATGCTGGACATCGTGTCAATCCTAATGGAAATTATCGTCCATTTAAAGACATACTTCATGATTTAGTAGTACGATCACCACAAACATTACGTGTCGATGGCATTACTGGTCCATATCGTATTCTTGATAAAACATCTGATGGACAATTAACACTCGGTAATGCTTATATTTCACAATCACCACCTTGTCAACATGGCAATAATTGTCGCGATATTAAAAATATGGATCATAGTCAAAACTTTTCACATCCACCAAGATGTTCATTACAAAGTACTTCTTCAGAATGTGATCAAATAAACGATGAAGTACATATGGCTACGTTTATGCATACCAGAAAATGTGATAAGGGTGGTGTATGTGACAATGAAGATGCTGCACATTGGAATGATTGTTATCATCCAGATTTTTGTAAGAATAAATCGCATTGTATCGATTATACTTCTGAACATTTATTTTCGTATCGACATTTACCTGCCTGTCCAGATGGAATGGATTGCTCAAAATATTTGAATCACGATGATGATCATAAGAAAGCATTTCGTCATTTCAAATCGATTTGTCCAGATGATAATTGCTGCAGTAAATTTTATGACGAAACACATACGAAGAAAACTATACATTCATTTCGTGAACCGTGTCCATTTACGCCATATATATGTGCTATGTATGTCGAATATTTTCAAGCTGGTAAATCAAAAAAAGTTCAGCCAGATATAGAACAGCATTGTCTACAATATTCACATGTTTGTCCTTATGGTCGTCTATGTAGAACAACCGAGGATAAACATTACGTAACAACGATTCACATTGCTCGACATATTTGTCCTGATGGAGACAAATGTACAAAAATGAATAAAGAAATTCATTTGGAATCATATACTCATCCAGGTATTCGTGATATTCGTCTGGTTTGTAAACATCCAGGATATAAATGTCATCAACGATTCGATCATAAACATCTGACAACTTATCGACATGGACAAAATTTTGATCATCTGACTGTGGCTCCATCAAGTAATTTTAATTCACACATTGATTTTGTTCAAAATCAAAGACATTTAATCAAAAGTGTGAACAGTTATATTAGTGCGGCAAACTGGAAAAATACGAAAGTATCTCATCAATTGCAAGATTGGATACAAGCATTGCAACCTGTACATCGATGTCGCAAAGAGATATTCGAATCAATACTTGTTCATGGTCATGTTATGAGTCGTAAATATATGAAGAAATTAGAAATACCAACATGCGTAGCGAATGCTGTATTACAACATAATCGTGTACGTTCCATTATTCTTAAACATAACAGTGATGCAGTGAAAAAAAATGCATTCGAGCTTATCAAATCGTTAGTTATAGCTGAATTTGCAAAAACAGGAGCCGATGGAATAGTTACATTGGACCCTGATCACGAAGACAAAGTAAAAATAGCAAAAACGAAACTTAAAATATCGTTAAATGACCATGATTTAAAAGTCATCTGTGATTGGACATTAAAAATTGCACGAGTGTCGATCGCATTACATGGTGCACCAATGGGAATAGGATTTGATGTTGATGAGAGAATGGAAACAGACAAACACGTTTTCAGTATCTTAGGACCACATCTTGGTTATTATTATGGCGATATTGTTATTACGTTCAAACAAGATATCATGTTCCACCCTGATGCTAATTTTTCTGTTCAAGCTGCTACTAGTTTTAATACTGGAAGAACTTATTTAAAACGCCCATGGGTTACAAATCCAAGCACACTGGAGGGGTGTGTTAAAGATTTTCATCATTCAAAACTACATTGTTCTGTTCCTCGTTATGAATATGCAACTGCCATGGAGTTAGCTGCTATAACTGGTAGAGATATACAATCCATGGATGTTGATATCAACGATGTTCTTCATCGATGGAATACTGTGGATTCACATGAAACATTCGAAGGTCATTTACCACAACTTATTCCATTAGATTATGTCGACTGTGTTTACATGCCAATAAATGTTTTTGAATCTCTTATTCCCGAAGCTCAACGTTCAGCAAAAGAATTATTTAAAGACTCACTTATTATATATGATCAACCAGTCGACATTGGTTTACTTAAACCAGGTGGTACAGTCCCATTGGATGTCACGCGTAAACCGTATCTAAACTATATAGCTGATCAACTTAATCAAAAGATTCAAGAGAGAATGAATACGCCACGTATTTCACGAGGCATTGTTATAACAGTTCCAAGCTCTAACTTTGATGAACATATTGTTCTGCCTATGACAATTTCTCAATCATATGATCTATACCGACTTGATAAAAACACAGCACCAGATAGATGTGAATACACTTATATCTATTGGCAGGCAATGCGTGGTGATATGATGTTAACAATAGCCAATGAAAAGATCCAACCTAGTAAAGACCAGCCTAACCTGCGATGTCTCATTTGCTACGTAGCTGAAAAGCCATCGACAAATACAGAACAGTATTATGAACAATATTCATACTTGAATAATGGTCATCCGTTACATCATTCTACCAATGTTTATGCGAGTAAATTTAAAGTAAAATCAAATGTATTTTATCGTGGTTGCAATACTGATGATTTCTTTACATTTTGTTTACAATTAAATCATAAAACAAATGAAGTAATATTATCTCATGCTGGTCCTAATGGTATATATAATCATGAAAAAATCTCTCATCAATTTAACAAATCTGATTTGGATATATCAAGAATAGATTATGTTCATGTTAGCGGTGGAAATCAAGATGTTCCTATACGTAATTTAACGATTCACCATGAGCCAATACTTGAGTTACATCCGACGTTTGACAAAGATTTTAAATTAGATACATCGCGATTGCTAGGAAATCGCTATACGTCGATGGAGCATAATGTTTATGAATCTCACTATAGGAATGCATCCAAAGACAACCACAACGTTGCTTATAAACCACATAAGCCACGAGTAGCCTCTACACAGCCACTGCATTCTCGTCCACCACTATCTGCACCACCAGAAAAAATGAATATTTTCCGACGACTGAAACGCAAACTTTTTGGTACCTCAACAAACGATAAATCACCAGCGCTGCATCGAGCTGTATCTAATCAAGATTTTACTAATATTGCAGACGTTGAGACACCAGCATATGATCGATCGAGGAATAAATCGTCAAAAGCTACAGCACCATCAGCCAACTACAATCCATCAAGAACTAGGACACCGTCGCCAAACTCCAAGCCACTGAGAGCTCGAACACCTCCGTTGATTTCATCGAAATTATCTCCTTGTCGCGATTCTATATATTGTCTGAATCAAGATGTCAAAGATCATATTGATGAATTTTCTCATCCGTGTCGTTTTAACGAATTATGCCGAAGACAGAGAGACGAACCGCATCTTATTCATCAGCGCCATAATATTTCCAAATGTACACAAGATAGGGATTGTAATGAAAAAACAAATCCTATACATCGTGCACAATACCGACACCAAGGCTTATCTGATTTTCTTATTCCATGTCGTTATCAAGATGATTGCTACATTAAATCTGAGGAGCATCGTCTAAAATATTTTCATGGCGAAGAAATACCCTTAATTAAAAGTCAGTTTTTTTTAAAAGAATATATTCTTTCATATGTAGCATATTGTTGTTTATCTTTTTAGAAAACAAATCATTAGCGCCTTGTCTTGGTCGTACTGCACCAAAATCTCTGATTCCATGCAATTTTAGAAATGATTGTCGGAATAAGAATGTTCCTCAGCATACAGCAAGATATTCACATCTTACTTAGATATATTTAGTTGCATCATGAACAAATAATAGATAACTTTTATGGATCAAAACATCGTTTTATTTTTCGTCTAATAAATAAATATTCAAGTGAAATATTCTTCATTGCTTTTTATTATCTGTCTATCTATTCAGATAGTAATTATGTATGAGATTTTATAAAATAGTTTGCTTTTATCTCTACAATAACATGGCGGATATGGTTGTAATGTTCATTGATACTTCTTCACTCATCCATAGTCTCAAAGTGCTTATTCTTATTAGATTTTTCACAACCGAAACGATATTGTCAATGATCTGAATGAAAGATTGATATTACGTGTTAGGTTGTCATGGTTGATTTCGTCCTCTGATCAGTAGAACTCATCAGCGAGCTTACAGCATCTTTTAATTTCTTTCAAATTATTTAAGTTAGTATTAAGTCAAGCGCTAAATAAATGCCGTTGGTTCTCGAAAATATGAAATAGAACAGTGACTAGTTAATTGAATGATGAATATAATACTTATACTCCTCTGCTCCAGACACACCATCAATAAGAAAATGTAAAGATATTTTCTTTATTTATTTGACTAAGAGGATGATCATATAAGAAACCACCTTAAGCATATGAATATGAATGAATGAGAAATTCATGAAATGGTTACATGCACATTCATACAGTGGACATTTTTCAGTCATATACAACGATATCGAAGCACTGTTTCTTATATAAAAAAAAACCCAGAGAATAAAAACGTAATAATTCAGAGAAATTTTCAAATATAAAACGATGCATGTGTTGTATGACACTCAATAAATAGTATCAACTTCATTCGTTTTATGCAATTCATTTGCAAACAGTAACAACGTCATAAAAATTTATTTTTCTATACAATGTGTAACTTGGAAAAAACCCAGATTTACTTTTTTCTATTACCTTTTTCTTATCAATAGCATATCAAATTCATTTCTCTTTCACTTTGTCTACGCATTGTAACAAGAGAAAAAATGACAGATTGGACATTTTTTAAATCGAGCGGAAAATTATGTAAAACAGATACCAATGAATGCCGATCATCTTATAGCGGTAAACCAGGTGAAAGTGATCAAACTAAGAAGAACAAAGGTCCTATTCCAAATGGAGATTATACTCTCGATAAACCGAAAGGAAATTTAAGATTTCCTTTAGTGCCAGATAAATCAAATGAGATGTATGGACGATTTGCCTTTCAAATTCATGGTGACAATAACAAACGTGATAAATCGGCTAGTGAAGGATGTATCGTTACTGATAAGAGAGATGATTTTAAATCAGGTGATCGTCTTCATGTCAAAAGTGATGATGACAAAGATGGCAATTGTGTACTTAGTTAATCTCGGTTCAATTATGATCATGAGTTCTTTGAAATAGATTTTTCTTTCTAATTTTTCTGTTTCAAAGACTTCAAGTATTATTTTTCTTTCTACTTAACTAAAATAAATTACTAACACAGTTTTTTCAAAATCTATTCCCATCTTGAAAGTGTGGATTAAGAGAAGGCTTACCCACATTCACATCCTAAATCTTCTAAAAAATATCTATCTGGGTAATCTTCATTCAAAATAACGATGCTACGACAATCATTATACACTTTGACAATACTAATACATTGAACAATAAAAATCCATTAAATTGTCGAATAGTTTATTTTTCTGTTCTCATAAATCAAACTTTTTTTTCTTTAACAGTCAGAAAGGAGTGCTCTTTTTCTATAAACAAGCAGCCAGCGACTCATTTTTGCTTTTCTTCAAACAACAATGTGTTATTATGTGACGAGGTTATTTTGTAATAAGAGAACTGATTTTATTCTGTTCTCACTTTTTTTTCCATTTCATCTTGAAAAAAAGAAAAGAAAAAAAATATAAAGTTTGCATTATTCATATCTGTTGCAATCTATTTAACCTTGTACAGATTAAACATCTCTCATCGGCAGGTATGATTTTCTGACGCATAAATTTTATAGTATAATGCTGCATTGTTTTGATTTCTTGACTTCATAGGATAGGGTTGTCCTTGAAATTTGAAGGAATATTATGAAAAAAAAATTTAACTTACTTCTTAACAATTTTCTGTCGTGTATCCTTTCCTTTCTCTCACGTGGTTGATAGAGAATATATAAACATATCAGATTGTGCCGAATCGTTTTGTCTGAAAATTCTTATCTTTCTCTCATTTTTCATGTCAATATTAACAGTGAGTGATGTTGTGCATCAAGCAACAAACAAATAATGAAGATATAGAAGTCTTTAGCTAATATTTTTATTTTTTCAGCAAAATTCTAGCAAATATAAGGTGCATGTTTACTTTGATGAGATTTCAAATTGATTGAAACGATGAGGGATGTGAGCGACCGAATATAGATTGTAATAATATATGTGTCTATAATTTAGTCTGTTTTTTTTTTTAAATCAAAGATCTATTCTTCTATTGCACATCTTCAACTGTATCAGTCATCAGAACGAAAGGAGACATAAACTTGCATACATAAATACATAAAAAGCAGTATAGCAGATAACTGCAACGATCAATAACTGTTACCATATTCGCATGTAGCTATAATATATATATATATGCATTTTATACTTAAAGGTATCTTTTTCTGTTAAAGTCGCACTGTCTCATATATCTGTCTTTCACTATAGTGTTCTTTGGATTTATTGCCCTCGTTTGTTTCTTCAATGCTTATTCATTACGAAATATTATTTTTCAAGTAACTGAATCCAACCTTCAAGTCATTATTGAATATCTGACCGATATTCAGTTGCACGTTCGGCAACAAATAATCAATTTTTTTCAAGTGAACTTTTGCAAGGAGCAGCATAAAGTAGCAGATGTCAATAAGAATTATAATTTATCTAACTACGAACATCAATGTCCTGACCATCGATACAATATTCGAATCATTGAACGAAGTCCATTGATTATCTATATTGAACAGTTTCTTACTCAAAATGAGATTCAGTATTTAATTGAATTGACGTAAGTAAAAAGTCAATATTATTGCACATATAACTTATTGTATATATATAATAGAGAACCTTTCCTCAGACCTTCAATGGTCTTTGAAGAGAATGGAACACATTCCATTAATGAATATCGTACATCAAGTTCGGCTGAAATCAAGCGTCATCAAACGCCAATTGTGAAATGCATTGAACAACGATTTGCTCAGTTTCAAGGTGATGTTGATATAGAATGTTTAGAGCAATTGCAAGTAGTGAAATACAAAGTCGATCAACAGGTATGATACAATTTCGTTAAAACTGATATATGAGAAGTGTAATTAAGTGAATTAGTTCATTTTTTCTGAGATAGATCGCTTTATATATTTTAAAGTTTGAACTATAACGTATTCTTTTTCATCAATATATATGAATCAATATGTGAAATGAGTAGTTGTTTCTTTTCATTTACTATTTTAGTATAAACCTCATTATGACTGGTTCGTGGAACCGAAGCTTATGATCAATGGAGGCCAACGAGTAACAACATTTTTTACATATCTTCAAGCCAATTGTTCCATGGGTGAAACAGAATTTCTTGCTATTCCATTCAATAAATCATTGCATGAGCAATTTTGTGATATCTTAGTTTGTGATGAAAAATCAACTGAGCTGGGTATTCGATTTCGCCCGTTGCCTGGAAATAGTATCTTCTGGTATAATATGAATGAATATGGTGAAGTAGATTATTTGACATTTCATGCCGGTCGTCCGCCCGGTAAAAATGGCCATAAGATTGGATTAAATACTTGGACACGGTTAAACAAAGTTTTCATACGACCCAAGAAATAATGAAGAAAAAATTAGAATATTTTGTTTTCTTTATAACCAGAGCAAAGAATAAAAATGATTCTCGAATTTTTTATCACTTTTTAAATCGAAATCAACTCTTTCTTTAGATAACTAACGTAATATGTTATCTGAACAATAACAACTGATTATGAGAGTGAGAGTAGGTGTGAATGAAATGTTTTTCAAATTACATACTCAAGCAGAGTATCTATTTATCATGACAGGCGTGAGAAAATACATGTCTTAATAAAAAAAAGATAAATGGTGAAATTCTAACAAGTTATTAATTGCACTATGCAAAGCTTTTACAGAAATTAGAAATGAAAGAACTCAATAAATATTAGTCCTTAAACAAATGCAGCACAATTATTGAAGAGAGTGTTTTAGAAAAACAACTCATCAACTTAAATACACAAAAAGCATCTCTGGGTGCAAACTTATCTTTGAAAAACAACAATTTACCATTTAGGAGTAACAACAAATGATATTATTTCATTTCAATCTTTCAAGTATTTA